TGTGTGTCATGTGTGTGTGTCGTGTGTGTGTGTATCGTGTGTGTGTATCGTGTGTGTGTTGTGTGTGTCATGTGTGTGTGTTGTGTGTGTGTCATGTGTGTGTATCGTGTGTGTCGTGTATGTCGTGTGTGTGTTGTGTGTGTGTCGTGTGTGTGTTGTGTGTGTCATGTGTGTGTGTTGTCTGTGTGTGTATCGTGTGTGTGTCATGTGTGTGTTGTGTGTGTATCGTGTGTGTGTGTCGTGTGTGTGTGTGTGTTGTGTGTGTGTCGTGTGTGTGTGTCGTGTGTGTTGTGTGTGTGTGTCATGTGTGTGTGTTGTGTGTGTGTCATGTGTGTGTGTCGTGTGTGTGTATCGTGTGTGTCGTCTATGTCGTGTGTGTGTTGTGTGTGTGTCGTGTGTGTGTTGTGTGTGTGTGTCATGTGTGTGTGTTGTCTGTGTGTGTATCGTGTGTGTGTCATGTGTGTGTTGTGTGTGTGTATCGTGTGTGTGTCGTGTGTGTGTTGTGTGTGTGTTGTGTGTGTCGTGTGTGTGTGTCGTGTGTATGTGTGTTGTGTGTATGTCGTGTGTGTGTGTTGTGTGTGTGTATCGTGTGTGTGTCGTGAGTGTGTCGTGTGTGTGTGTCATGTGTGTGTTGTGTGTGTATGTCGTGTGTGTGTGTCATGTGTGTGTTGTGTGTGCCGTGTGTGTGTTGTGTGTCGTATGTGTCCTAAATTGTGTGTGTGTGTCGTGTGTGTCATAAATCATCTCAGTCAGTGAACCCATGGCACCACCTGGGTCTGTCCCGTGACCTCCTGCCAGCGGCTATGACCCGAGTTCGATTCCCGCTCACGGCCAACACCGGTGACGATTATCTGAACCGGGTCCTGGGCCTCCCCTAGGTCGACTCAGCCTCAAATGAGTACCTGGTGCGATGTGTAAAAACATCGCCACTAGGGAGACAAAGGCAGCCGGGCGTGGTGCTGGCCACCCACCCCCTCGTGTGCCGTGCCGGGTTTCACAGGCGCTACTCGCTAACAGCACTTGCCCCTACAGTCTGTTAAGGCTACACGGGGGATCTCTGTCTTTGTCGTTGGGACGCACACATTGTGGAGCGGTGGTTGTGCGAAAGGCCACGACGTGAAAGGCTTTTCACGGAGAGGAGTGCATTGGGTAGAACAAGCGTCGTTCTGTTTTGTCCAGACTCGTGTGTCTCCATGAATATATCTAAAAAAAGTTACTTGGTGGACAGCCTATGTCACATTTCACAGCAATTAAATCCAGTGTGTGGATGTTGTAATAATTTGACTGGTCCTGGAAGCATTTACATTTATTTCTTAGAACCACGTTGGGGGTCAGGCAAGTGGGGGGGGGGGTATCTCGGATGAAACAAAATTCAACAAGGAGGGGGAGGGGGGTCACAGTAGTAGCCACACGTTCCTCTCCACATCTCTCAGTGTCATCCCCACAGCTGTCAACACACACGGGTTACCCCGTATTCTTGTGCATGGAAATTGAGGTGCCAGGCCCTAATGGCGTACAGCCGTCTCAATACGGCCAAACATTATTTTGTCTGTTTGTGTTTTTTTTCCCCTTGTGATGATGTGACTTAGTAGGATGAACGTTGAGATTTATAAGGAGCACGCAATGACCAATAAGGTCTGACTTTGTGTGTAATAGGGTAGGCACTGATAAGGGGTTGATAGGTTTGCATTCCCAGCGTGCGTCTGTCCGTGATTGCTAATGCCCCTTTGCAGTTTTTGTACCATTTTCCCCTCCATGAATGGCCTAGTTTTCGATCCTTTGCCATAGCAGGTGGTAGTACAACACTGGGTGAGTATGCGTATTGTTTGTGTCGAGTACTTCCCTCCTAGCAAACAGACCAAAGCATACCCTCCCTGATCCAGCTAGTCACCAACAAGATGTTTATTGTCAGACTGAGCTTGGCATTTTCCAGAACAGTCCATTGAGGTGGAGGTACCTTGTACATGAGGCAGAAACCCCCAATGTTATTATACTGCAGTCAGCAGCAGGGTTATAACTGACAAACACAAATGCTGCAAGACATTCATGACGGTGCAATAGCAGCATTTCATTCTGAGAAGCCCATTAGGTAGAATCTTGACTTAAAGCTTTCGTGACTGCAGGAAAATATAATATTTGAGTATTTCGGTAAAGTCACGTAGATAGGTTGTGATGGGACTTTGTACTCGGCTAATGGAGCTGGCTACTGGTGCCGTTATTCATATGCCACCTTAAAAACTGTTCATCGTTAAATATTTACAATTTAATTTTTCTCAGGCCCCACGGTGTACAGTGCGGTCTCCAACTCTGATTTTACACGTTTATCTCTCCGTCCTCGCAATGTATGCACTGCGAAGGGCCACTGCCCGAAACGTCACCTGTTATTGTCATCATCATCATCATATACGTTTCCTTTTAAGGCCGCACGGTGTTAATGACGAACGCGTTGATTTTGCTTGCTGTTTTTGTGCTTTGCGCTAGCGTGCCACTGTCAACGTAGCAGCAGCACCACCAAATAATCGGTGTCATTTTCCCGGTAACTTCCATCAGCTCGTGCAGGAGATTCACACAGGGTGACAGCAGAGGTACACGTTTTGCCAGGAATGTCTCCGCGTATTTAATTTGTTATTTTCTGTACCGTCATGAAAACATGCATCAATGTATGCATGCAGAACTCCTTTTTCCATTGTACAGAGCGAAACCGTGCTGCTGGGTGAAGTGCAAACTGGGTAATAAAACACGCGAGGCACGGGCCTTGCTCGTGCGCCATCCACAGACGACTGTTACTGCATTCCCAATGTGGGCTACTGTTAGAATAATTTCCGCTTATTGGAGACACCACGTGGGCTGAGATGTTAAATGCCACTGTCGTTGTTGCTCGACGCCAACCTCAGACGTGCAAAGTAGGAGAAGAAGAAGATTTGACTGTTGAGAAAAGTAAGTGGGCTTGGGAAGGGCAATACGCTACGAGGGATTTCTATGGCTGAGGGACAGGGCCGGTGATGGAATATGAGCCAAAGGTGAAAGCGGCACTCTCCATACAAAGTGCGTCGGCAACGCCATCGCGATAACAATCCCAATACTGGGTACGTGGGTGCGTGTAGTTTTATAGCTCTAGCTCAAATCGGCCGTCTAACCATACCCCCCTTTATTGGAGGAGAATTCCGTTCTCTGCGACCCTATGATCCGTTACTCGTGTTATCCGTGGAGACTGCAAGGTCCGCGAAAGCTTCAATTATTATCAGCGCCCCTTCCCATTTTCCGCAATTATTCACAAATGTTCCCATCCTCCTTAGTGGAACTGCTTCCTATTATCCACACCATCTGTTTTAACGGATAAGAAAATGCATATTTTTAGCCACGATTATCAATGTGTTTTTTTTTCTGCAGATAGGTGAACTAAATTAGCGGATAACAAACCCGGACAATACAATTAGCGACGTGCTTCCCCTACGCCATCGCGGATGAGTGGGGTTCCACTGTTCTTGAAGCTACCCGGAATAACGCCCCGTATTTTAAATTCCGCGAAAGTAGGCAACGTCTCTTACTACTCACAAAGACGTTGGTCACTGCATCGCGCGGCGCTTTCAGATGCGCTTCTGCGGCCGTCTGGAACGCTCTTCCTTCTAATATTAGGAAACCACTAGAGCTACGCCACTTTTGAATCATCATCTAGTTTTAAAACGAATTTCTTTAGCACTGCTTTTTGTGTTTAGTTTGTTCTCCTTCCCACGCGCCTACGGTTAGCATGGTCGGCTACGTCCGGTGCAAAAGAGATGCAACGTACCAACGAAGGAGGATGGATGTGTCTGACCAGACTCACTGTCCCCAGCACTCGCGCCAACCATCTGGAAACGATGTCACAGAGAGGATGCTGCCATCTTCTTGGTTCTTTCGGTGAAGTCACGTAGAATGCGAATAAAATAATAAAATAAGACAATAAAATTCTCACGACGTTTCGCCCACACAGCTTAATAGACGCGGCCCTTGCATGACAGCGTTCATTCAAGCGCTGTCTTCCGGACAGACCTGTCTCTTCACCTGAAGAAGGCCACTTGTGTTGTGGCCGAAACGTCGTGAGAATTTTTATTGTCTTATTTTATTATTTTATTCCCATTCTACGTGACTTTACCGAAAGAACCAAGAAGATGAATCCTTGCAGTCACGAAAGCTTTAAATCGAAAGGATGCTGCCAGTGTCAAAATCTCCCCGTCTCCGCTCGCCGGGACACGGCTGGCAGCCGTGATGGGCGCGGGCCGGCGGCGATGAAGGGGGGCGTCCCTTCTGGCAAGGGTCGCTCCGTGAAAACAATCCCGACGTAGCTTGAGCTGGCCTTACATTAAACATTCCGGTGATTTCGTGCGAGAAATGTGCACACCTATGCAAACAAACCCAAAGAACATTATGCTGTTGCACAAAGTCCCGTTTTTAAAAAAAAATATATATGGAAAACAGAGTTTGTTTGTGCTGCGGAGAGACCCATTGATGGAAATAACATCAATGCGATTAAAAAAAACGCTTAGCATTGTTTTTCTTTCCTCCCTTAACATTTATAAATCTTGATATACCTTACATGTTGTGTTTCACTTCTGTAATAAAAGTGTCAAAATATATAACCTCCCATTACTTTCATTTTTAAAGTCATCGTGTTTCTGTTCTTGACACTGTATAAATGTAAACTGTATAAGACGTAGGGTTTACAATCTTCTTTGCGTGTCATTACGCCTTTGCTCTGTACGTGTCACTTGTGTGTGTCACGTGACACCCTGAACACCCTCGCAAATGAGATTTTCCATCTTGGGGGATTGGGTGGGATTTCCCCAGTAACGTATTTTCATCACAAAAGAAAATAAATGGTCTGGTAAAAGATTTCTTTCTTCCAGAACCTGAAATATGATCGGTCGTAAAGCTCCGGTTCAGTGATTAAGACGGCTTGGACGCTGTGATCGACAACCAGGATGCATTTATTTACTTACTTGATGACGGAATTTATTCCACAGCCTTTGCAGATGTGGAGTGCCCACTACCAGGACCAATCTCGAACGGAGCAGTGGAGGCAACCGACTTCAGAAATGGCAGCTCCATCTCCTTTAGGTAACAATGTCCTCTTGAAGATCGTCCTGCTTACAAGGAGTGCTGGTGCCGAGATGTTAACTCCCTCGCCTGGTACGCAGGAGGTCGTGAGTTCAATCCTGACCGCGACACCTGCTGTGTATATTTGGAGTTTGCGTGTCTCTCTCTCTCTCCATGGTCACGTGGATTTCTCTCCGGGTCCTCCTCCGGTTTCCCCCTCCACATTTATAATCAGCGCGCGTTTTGAGTATTTGGCCGCTTTACATTTGCACGTAATAAGCCACTTCATTGAGGTATTAGTAGTGATAGCCAGGTCGCTTCTTGCAAAAAGTGCTGCATAGCTCAGTGGGCCTTTCCTGATTAAAAAAACAAACCAATTAATCACTTTAAATATGAAGCAACCGCTTCCGTCATGCGAGCCCATCTCCTGCGGTGCCCCGGATGAATATATGTTTTTATTTGCTACAGAATGACCACGGGGGGCTACTGCCACGGTGTAACGGTTGAGGGCAGCCCTGGAGGTCGCCGGTTGGATTCGAACCGGCGACCTCCAGTGGGTCAAGCAGCTTCTTTCAAGGCAAGTGGCAGAACCAGACGTCTACGCGGTGCGTTTTTGGCGCAGTCATCTGGCGACCAGCAGGACCGAGGCCACCAACTCGCTGCAACTTTTGACACCCGGTTTTGATCACACGGCGGGCTCAAATCCAGACTCTATCCCAGGCATCTCAGTGGCGCTGGCTGAGTGTCCTGACCTCTGAGCCACTCGGCCACCACCGTTATTTCAGTGATTAGACGGGGAGCGTGCATCAGGGACTTCACCTCCCTTCCCGCCACGAGCGTACAGTTTGTACGCTTGCGGTAAAACGCCGATAACGACGGGTGACCCTCTAAGCAGCAATCTACAGTTATTTCAGAATGTAATGTTTCGATGTGTAAATGATAAGAAGGTGGGGGTTAGGGTAACAAATGAGTTGGGGTAGACGAAGGTGAAAATCAATTTAAAATATAACCACTCTATCCGACTTATTATCATCACGGTAATCAGAACGGTGCTTTGTGCAAGTAATTGCTTCGAAGTCTCAGCATTCTACTGAATAACCGAACGCTGTAATTGTGCCGAGTGGCCACCAAATGGCTCATGTCCTCTCATGCTTGCCGTCGGAACTAACACATCTCACACATTTGAGATCGCAGTAATGAAGTCTTGCGTACGGAGAGAAAAGCCTCGCTCAGCCGTGACGCTCTCCTCCTTCGGGGGAGAGTCGTATTTGCGACGTTGGGACACTCGCTCGCTGCGTATGGTATCAGGGCGAGGGGTCATTGGCGTGAAATCCACGCGATCGCGACTTGACAATGGTCGCTCGAAGCATCGCGTTAGGCGGATGGAGCGGTGGCGCTGCGGTTAGCGCACTGCGCTATGAACCCAGTGGCCTCTGGTCGACTGCAAGGCCACGTGGCCAGGTGTTGGCGACCTGCGGCTCTTGAAACACAGAAATCCCTCGCCAATCGTGGGGGTTAGGTTCCTAGGAAGGCCGTGGTAGGAAAATCCGCGGTTGTTAAAGTACAGGAGGCCTCTGGGAAAATACAGATAAGATTCGGCATAGCTCAACTAAGTTTCATGTTTCTTCACTAAACACGAATAAAATAGAGTACAATCTTAATTTGAAGCTCTCTCTCCCACTTAAGCAATTTTCTCTTGCTGTGGGTTTCCCACCTGATGATGATTGCTTGTGTTGCAATCGAAACGTCGTGATTTGTTTGATTTTATTTCAAACTACGTGACTTTACCGAAAGAACCAAAGGAAAGAGTACATTACACAATAACGCGATAAAACATAAATCAACATTCAATTAACTTTTTATTGAGGGTAGAAGTCCATGATTATGGCGACGATGACGACGATGAGAAGATGGGTGAAGGGGTGGCTAGAAGGAGGAAGGCGCTCAGCCCTCCCTCCCCCTCTTCCTCCCGCGTCATCAACGACAGATGAGTGGGCAGGTGAGGAGGCAGACGAGGAGGCACCACGAGCCCTGATTACGACATCACAGCACGCAGCAGCACTCTCAGCACGCACGGGCCGATCCCGCACGTCCCCTTTACTCTGCAAGCCCCTCACTTTTCTCGCTCCCTCTGCGACGGACAGACGACTTAGCGGACGCAGCGCCACGGGGTGCGCGGACGAGAACCGCTGCCCCCGCGAAATTTGTAAATGCGGACCCGTGCCTACCCGTGGATACTCAACATTCCCAGGCCACATTTGGTTCAATCGGGATCCGGATACTGAAGCGCGCGGTCGGCTAGGAATTGCTGCATCGAGTTATGGATATTTTAAAGCTGTTCATTCAATGCTGGATTTTTGTTGTGGCGTGATGGAGGTGAATATTCTTTGCAATTTTCAAGACTACATTTAAAAAAGACAACTTGTTTTTTTTTGTGCGATCGATTGTTGGTATGCTGTCTTTTTTTTATTCACGCAAATGTTTATTCCACGTTCGCGATTCATAAAAGGGCTGGCTGAGGCGTAACGGTGATTGCACCGAACTGGCGATCCAGAGGATCCAGAGGATCGCCAGTTGCAGTCAATCTCCCGGCGTGGCAGCTAAAATAAACAGCGCAAGTTCCCAAAATTGCCACCGCACCTCACCACACGCCGTTCCCGCCCAGCGGCGTTCGTGGCTTCACTCTGGCTATTGGCAGGTCTTTGTGCGGTGTTATGTAGATGTCGTTTATTGTTAAATTTCAATCAGTTCCTATGATCACTGTTACATTGCTTTCATAGCTTTATTTTGGTGATTGCGAAAACGTTTTGGTTTATCCATATTTGTTTGTTGTAGTACACAGAGTTAGACTGATAACTTTTATCTAAATTGTCTTATGGTTATTATTGTTTGACTTGCATCCCACTGGGATTTTTGCACACGGCGTTGATACGCGGTGCTTTTTCTGGAAGACTTTGCTGTTTCTTCCTGGATTTTTCTGTTGCGCGTCGTCACTTTAAGATGTTTCTTGTTCATGTTTTTGTTTGTTGCGGTTGCACCCGATTCAAGAGCCGAATGGCTCACAGGGCTATACCTAATACATGAACTGAACTGAAAGTGTGGGTAAAGTGTCTATGGCCAGCAGAGAAGAGTAGGCCAAAATACCCTCCAGTGGAGGGGGGGGGCCTTAGAGCCTCCTATAGTGGAAGCCCTTCCCCTGCAGCGGCGTGAGCGACAAGTAATTGCAGTCCTGCACCTTACCCATCGCTTTTTAAGTTGTGTATTTTCTTTTCCCTTCCCACGTGTAGGTGTCACGAGGGCTACACGCTCATCGGTGGCCCGACTGTGACGTGCCTCTCCCACGGCGAGTGGAGCCAGAAGCTTCCGTCATGCGAGCCCATCTCCTGCGGCGCCCCGGATGAAATCACCAACGGGGTCATCACGGAAAATGGGATAACGTATCTGTCCACGGCAACATACGTGTGCACGACGGGCTACAGGCAAGCGTGTGACGCGACCTCAAAGTGATTTCCCGCTGCGCCAAATGATCGTGGAGGCGGTGCTTATCTCCCGTTTTACAGCCGGGCGGCGGGGGCTACCCTGCTGCATGCACCCTGGCAGCGGCGAGGGTTCGTGGTTCTTCAGCACAGGTGTCGTCGTGAAACTCCGTTCCCGTAGGTGTCGATGAGGTGCCATGCCCTGGCTTTCCAGGAGAAGGCGGTACAGAAGAGTGCGGGCTAATAGCTTCTGCATGGGATAGAGTGTTGCCCCTTCTCACGGATCGCTTTTCTTGGTGTGCTCAGGTTTTCTCCCGCGTGTATAAACACTCATTATATATGTGGAGGAATGCAGAGCTTGGGCAATTGTTGGTACCAGCTAACCCGCTGGCTGCCTTCCAGCTTGTTTGTGGTTCTTCAGCGAATGTGAGATGCAATTTACATGAACGACGCTGTGTTATTATTTACAGCGCTAATGCCAGTGATGGAAATTCACCTTTCCTACGGTGGGGGTTGAATCTCTCCATAAGACAACCAGTGTTGACATTTTTTCTTACTTATTTGATCAATCCCGGAGGTACGACGGGCTGAATTAACCCACAGGATTTGAACTCCTAACCTACTGGCTGCGAGCTGCTTCACTCACTTGACCTATGACCTAGGGTTGCCACCGTTGAGGTATACAAACGAGGACATATCCCTAGGAAGGAGAAGAAGACTATCTCACGATACCAGAAGAGGAGAGAACGACACGTAAATGGAACATGTAGGCTTTCACGACCATTATCATGATTATTAATTAGTTCCTTTTGGGTTAGAACGTGTCGCGTATAATGTAAAAACACTTTTTTTTCTATAAATGTTGCTCTGGGTGTAATCTCCAGCGAAGCATCGTGAAAACTTTGCCCAGATAAGGTTTACGGATAATGCAGACTTTTTTTTTCGGAGCGTCTTGAATTGTAATGTTTGGAAAATCGATTGTTGCTCCAATTTCTCATCGATCCCGTGATGCCAGAGTCCACCTCGTCAGAGAGAGCCGTTGACACCTGATGATTCTGGATGTGATATCCAACAAAGCGGCGTACACAACTGTCAAAGTGTTGATCGCTTTTTGACTTTCTGGTTTCTAAAAGGCCTATTTGCCCACGTTGACAACTTTATTTTGATTGCCTCTGTCGGGTGGTGGAAGGTTATAGTTACACAAATGTACATGATACTAGCCCACAAGAAATGAGTTAAGATTTCTGGAACTTTCTCAAAGACCACTCCCCTATCTCCGGGTTGTTTGAGATAGTCTCACAGACTGCCCTGACCTCTGACCTCTAACCTGGTTACACGCTCAGCACGATCAAACTCTACTAATGCCCCTCTCCGCCATGTGCAGCGCATGGGAGCCGCAAACCACTACAGATGCATCGTCTTGAGTGGTGTTGGTGTCATTATCATTATTACGCAATTGACAAAACCCGGAATTTTTTATGTCTTTGGAAGATTTACAGATTTCCCAGGACAGCCACACTCATTTAAAAAAAAGACGATGATATTGAGAAAACCAGGACACATGGCAACCCTACCTGTGACCAAATCACCCGGAATTCAACCGATCTCATCAGATCCTGGCAGCTAAGCAGGTTTGAGCTTGGATAGAGCCTGGATTGTTGACCACCATGCGTAGCAGGTTGTTGTAGGCTGCGAGGCTACGTGGTGGGAAGCAAAGTAGAACAAAAATAAGTCGTTGTTCCCTCCGATGCTCCCACGTATATATGCTCCTCGCCTTCACCAACCCGGCGCCGACCAGCGAGGTGAAGTATGGTCAAATAACCCGCACAACACGCAACCTTCAGGGTAGGCCCTCATCCGGCAGCGCACCGACCGGAAGGGCGCCGCGAGCCCCTAACCGAGGGCAACGTCTCCGTGCCGTGTTTGTCGCCCGAGGAAGGGCCGTTGCCCGACAAACGTGAGCCGACCGTGGGGGGCGGGGGTGGTGTGGGGCCATCCGCGTGTGCAGACTGCGCGGGCCCCACGTGCGGACGTGTCAGGCGTCGGGCCAGTGGAGTGGCGAGTCCCCCGAGTGCGAGGTGATCTCGTGCGGGGAGCCGCCCCGACTCAGCCACGCCATCGTCAAGGGGGAGAGCTTCACGTTCGGCAACGACGCGACCTACGTCTGCAGCGACGGGTGAGCGGCTGCTTGACACGTTAGGGGTCGGCTTTCGCGGGCGATATTATTCGTGATGAAGGATTTTTTTTGTTTTGGGTTGGATCACGTAAAACAGGAATGTGTCATTAATCCTGCCACCACCACCGCCACCCGACACAGCCTATTAGTAAGGTTTGTCACACAAACGCAACGTGCCAATTAGGTGCTACTTCAGCGCACCGGTCTGTTAGAGAGTAAACCCACAACACATTTCTGGCTAATCGCCTGATGAAGCTGGTTGTGGTAATCACCAGCGAAACCCCACGGTACTCGAATTGTAAATGTTGCGGCCGCGGAAGGAATGAGACATCGGAGCCTCTCAAATTGGGACCGCAGTTTAAAGCCTCGACGCGTCGCGCAGCGCCGTTGACGTCGCTGCGCTCAAACCACGTGAACATTCGTTTGCAGATACAACCTCGTGGGAACTGCCAAGATGGCGTGCCTGGGCTCTGGCATGTGGACGCTCAGCAATGCGCGCTGCACCCCGCTGTCGTGCGGCGCGCCACCCCGCATCGAGAAAGCCGTAGTCAAGGGGGACAGCTACCTGTTTGCGAGCACTCTGCTTTACGTGTGCGCCGATGGCTACAAATTGGAGGGGCACAAGGAGATCGTCTGCAACGTGCACGGGAAGTGGGCTCCGACCGTCGGAGAGGACTTTCCGCAGTGCGTCTCTCAGTACTGCGGCAGGCCACCCGCGGTCCTGTTCAGCACCATGGACAGCCCGGACGCGGACAACTTCACCGTGGGATTTACGGTCAGCTACAAGTGCCAGGACGGTTACCAGCTGAACGGGGACGGTAAGGTCACCTGCCAAAGCGGGGGTCGTTGGCTCTCTCCGATACATTCAATCCGATGCGTTCCCGTGGACTGCGGAGAGCCGGCCACGATTGACAGAGGCTACGTCAGCGGCAACAACTACAGCTTCGGGGCGGTGATTGCTTACAGCTGTGAGCGGGGCTATTACATCAAGGGGGAGAAAAAGCGGACGTGCCAGTCGACCGGAGAGTGGAGCGGCAAGCTACCCAGCTGCCAGCCCGTGTCCTGCGGAGAGATCCCTCAGATTGACAATGGGCGAGCGGAGGCGAGTCTTTCCTCTTGCACGTCGCGAGAAGTCTGCGGCCGTCGGTTGATGCTCCGTGTGTTCGCAGGAGGAGGTCAACGTCTGTTGGCCTATGGCAGCGTGCTTCAGCTTTGTTTTCCAGGCGGCCGTGTAACAAAGCGAGTGTCTGCTGGTGGGGCCACGTGACGTCATACGTGACGACAACACAGTGTCAGGGCGTGCAGACGTTATGACGTCACACGGCATTAACATTGGTAACAATTGACCGCTAATTTGTATTTGTTTGTCTGTGGGCATTCAACCCCTTTCGCTTGTTAACTTTCCTCCCTCGTCCCCTCAGGCCCCCAACGGGACGGTGTTCGAGAGCGTGGTGCGCTACCTCTGCGACAAGGGCTACCGCCTGCATGGCAGCAGCACGCGGAGCTGCCAGGCCAACCGCCAGTGGTCCGCCGAGTCGCCCCCCTCGTGCGTCGAAATGCAGTGCAAGTCGCCGCCCGTGCTGGAGAACGGCGTCGTCAGCTCGAGCAAGATCGCTGACGCCAAGGTCAAGCGGCATGCCACCCACAGGGGTCGCGCCGCCAAAGACGACGCCGCCGCCGCCGCTGCGGCCAAGGGTCACGTGATGAGTCCGGGTTTCCGGTTGGAATTCAAGTGCAAGGAGGGCTACCAGCTCTCTGGGGACTCTGTGTGGACCTGCGGCGCCGACGGACTGTGGAACACCGGCGTGGTGCCCGCGTGCAGTCCGGTGCGCTGCCCGGCGCCTCCTCCGCAGAGAAACTTGATTTCAACCGGAAACTCGTTCAGCTTCAACAGCCTCCTGTTCATGAGCTGCGTCGAAGGGTACAAGCTGGTCGGGTCCGCAATCCTGCAGTGCACGGCCTCGAGAACGTGGAGCAACGCTTTCCCCAAATGCATTCCCATCAACTGCACCGCCCCGCCGGAGCTCCCGTTCGGGTCGGTGTCCGGCCTCGACTACTCGCTGGGGAAGAGCATCAACTTTTCCTGCTTGCAGGGATTTCACTTGAAAGGGAAATCCTCGCTCGATTGCCTCCCGAGCGGACGATGGAGCTCCGACGTTCCCGAGTGCGTGTCGGTGGAGTGCCCCCACCCGGAGACGATCGCCAACGGAATCGTGGACAACCAGGGGCTGACGTACCTCAGCCGAGCCTTCTACACGTGCAAGCCGGGCTACAGGTTGTCCGGCGCACCCACCATGCAGTGCGGGGAAGAGGGCCGCTGGATAGGCACGGTGCCAACGTGCGAACCCGTCACGTGCCTCCCTCCGAAGGCCATCCCCAACGGCAGACTGACCGCGACGGGCACGAGCGTGGGCGACAGGGTGACGTTCGCCTGCGAACGCGGCTACAGGCTGGAGGGGGAGAGCAGCGTCGGCTGCGTCCACACGGGCCGGTGGAGCGCGCCATTCCCCTCCTGCGTCCACATCACGTGCGGCCCCCCGCAGCCCCTGGAGAACGGATTCGTGGAAGGGAACGAATACACGTTCGGTAGCCTCATCATTTACAGTTGCTTTCCCGGCTTCCAGCTGCTGGGCAACGGGCTCCAAACGTGCGAGGAGGCCGGCTGGGGTGACAGGGCCCCCGCGTGCGTCCAGATGGATTGCGGTCCGCCGCCGCACATCGACTTCGGGGAATACGTGAAGATTCACGCGGATGAGAAACAGATCCACGGCGGCGATGTTGGGGACGCGGTGGCCCCTAGAGACGAGGAACACGCAGGGGCGCTGATTTCCCTTTATTTCGATTTGCCCCCGGCAAACGAGAAGGGGGGAAAGCCGACACCGACCGCACCCCCTGCGGAGCACAAGACCGGCAAGAACCACGGCTACCAAAGCGATGGCATGGCCTCGTTTGAACGCCGCGATCCACGGTCACCCTTAAACCGCGGAGACAAAAGGGAAATACGGATGCTTTTGGATTTCCTGAAGTCCATCGCGGCGAAAAAAAGACAACGGCGATCCCACCTCGGCCCGATGTCAGAATATCTGTACGGAACGCTTATTCGGTACCACTGTTTGACCGGGTTCGATATGGAGGGGCCGTCCGTGCTGATATGCCAAGAAGACGGCACGTGGAATGGCACCGCTCCCAAGTGCCACGCGATCCAATGCGAGGCGCCGCGGCCGCCGGAAAACGGCGCCGTGGAATTCCACAGCCGCGGGTTCGAGAGCGTGGCGAGCTACCGTTGCGACGTGGGATACACGATGGTGGGGCGGCCCTCGAGGTCGTGCACGACGAGCCGCACGTGGGACGCCGCGCCGCCCGTCTGCGTGCCTGTCACCTGCGGGGCCCCGGAAGTCATCGCTCACGGCGGTGCCGTGCCTGGCGACGTCGCCACGCACGGCGGCGCGGTCCGGTACGGCGGCACAATCCGGTACGCGTGCGCTCCCGGCTACTCGCTCGTCGGCCGACAGGAGCTCGCCTGCCAAGCCAACGGGACATGGTCGGCCGAGAAGCCGAAGTGTTTGCCGCAGGAATGCAGGCCTCCCGCGGCGCCGTCGAACGGCCGGATCGTCGGCAGGGATCACACGTTCCAGAGCGAGGTCCGCTACGTGTGCAACGCGGGGTACACGTTGATTGGGAAGACCGTGCGCACGTGTCTGTTCGACGGCAGGTGGAGTAACAAACCTCCCGTGTGCAAACCCGTGTCATGCGAAGCGCCCCGACCGATTGCAAACGGGAGAATCGAAGGCTCCGAATATACGTTCGGGAAAGCCGTGCACTACCGCTGCCTGGATGGTTTTTCCCTGCGAGGCGTCTCGAGCAGGCTGTGCGAGTCGAGCGGCTCGTGGAGCAACAGCAGCCCGTCGTGCGAGGGGGTGACGTGCGGGCCGCCGCCGGACGTCGCCCAGGGCTACCTCGTCGGCTCCAACTTCGACTACGGCGACGCCGTCGAGTACGTCTGCTTCTCGGGCTACGAGCTGCGGGGCGACCGACGCCGGCGGTGCCTCTCCAACGGCTCGTGGAGCGCCGACAGCCCGCGGTGCGAGCCCCTCCTCTGCGGCCCACCGCCCGAGCCGGAGAACGGCGAGGCGGAGGCCTCCGACCGCACGTACGGCAGCGTCGTCGCGTTCCGCTGCCGCGGCGGCTTCGAGATGACGGGGCCGGGGCGCGCCGTGTGCGAGGCGGACGGCAGCTGGAGCTCCGAGGCGCCGACCACGTGCCGCCGGAGGTCCTGCGGGAGCCCGCCGGAGCTCGCGCGAGCCGCGCTCCGAGGAGGCGGCGGCGGCGGGCAGCGCCGCACCGGGGAGAGCGTCGCGTACGAGTGCCGGCCGGGCTTTGCGCTCGTCGGAGACGCGACGCTGGCGTGCAACGACGCGGGCCGCTGGGGCGAGTTGCGCGCTCGCTGCGTCCCCCTGACCTGCGGCCCGCCGCCCTCGTCGCCCAGAGCTGAGATCGTCGCGGCCTCTGACGAGTACGACGGGAAGGCGTACTACAGGTGAGGGCGCGCGCTTGCCTGCCTCCAGTTCCTCGGTCCCAGGCCCCCATCTGCATCAGCCTGCGCTGACCGGCACGGTGAAGTATGGTCAAATAAAGAAATGCCAGAGAAAACGTGGCATGGGGTATCCTTAATCCCGCAGTGGATTGATAAAGCATTGTAAGTTATAATTGCGCTGCATTGTCAACCCCATGACCTGAGTTCAATTCCCGTCCATGGCTAACCCTCAGCGGCGAGTGACATCTGAACCGAGGCCTTTCTCAACCACCAACCAGTAGTCCGATGGTTTGGGCGATGGCCCTCATCTTAAGGAGGGCCATTGCTCAAGATTCTAGCTTGTTATACAGTAAATGTTTACTATTATAAGGCAGTGTTAATAATTTAGGTGGTTAATTAATTTATATTATCCAGTATCCCCGAAATGTAAGTCGTAATTTCAATTCATAAACGCATTTTATTGTTTGTTGCATAATTGTGTTCTCGAATTGTATCACTTGGGTTTAACACGTAGGAAGCTTTCGCGAACAATATCATCCATAATACAGGGTTTTTTTTAGATCGCGTAAATATATAAATGTGTCGTTAAACCCGCCACCACCCGACACAGCCAACTAGTAAGGTTTCACACGTAAACAGAACGTGCCAATTCGTCACTAGTACAGCACACCGGTGTGTTGGAGAGCCAAGCCACAACATTTACAATCTGAGTACGACGTTTCTCCAGTAATTACAACTAGCTTCCCTTGCCTTGTTACATGGAACATCGTCACATAGCCGACCATCAGGTATCCTCGACGACCAATTACCCGCCCCGTCCCAGTTGCAATTTTTCTGCACGGTGTAACATTTACTCTCTGTGGACGTTCACGTCTCACACGCAGTCATGTGTTCACAATCTCATTGATTGATTGATTCATCCCAAGGCCACTTTACGGGAACGACTCCGCGGTTACCAGGTAATGCCCGCTGTGCTGTACAGCTCTTGTTCATAAGCGACCTGGCTATCACAAATGATAGCTCAACGAAGTGGCTGATCGTGTGGAAATTTACAGCAGCCAAATACTCTAAACGCGTGTTCCTAAATGTGGAGGGAGAAACTGTCTGCACTTTATTTTGGTCCAGTAACATACTTTTTGCTCGGCGTAACTGCACATTGTCTGAAGACGTTCACATATCCGACATTTTCACTCGTCCGCCTACCCCCTCAATATCCCAGCGAGTTGCATCAGCGACGCTGTGCCACGACACGCTCTTAGACATCGAGTTACGGAATGCATTTGCCCTAAAACGTGGCGGCCACCTCCGATTACCGCGGTTGGCCACGTACGGTGCGAAAGAAGTTCAGCATGCAGTCTGTTCTCCGAGAACGTCGTGTGTTTTTTGGAACGCGAATTGGATATAACGCGGTGAATGTATTAGGGAACGCATTTTTTATAACGCGGATGCGAATTGGATACAACACGATCGAGTGAACGGAACTACGTCGCGCGAGTTGGAATAAGCGGTTGTATGACTGCCTCGGCGTAACATGGTCGCAAGGGACGGGATGCTGCTGGATGCTTCTAGATGCTACCCACACGCCTCAGTCTTCGTTCGGACTGCGCACGCGTCTCACGCGTTATCGCGGACTGTGCCGTCCCCTTTATTACTTTGATAACGCGGCGCTCTTCGGCAACGTTAACTACCGCCGCGGTATGAGAGAACGGACCGCACGTAGCGCACGCTCACCCGCAACTTGGTGACGAACGCCGTGTCAGATGTGCCAAAGGCTTTCGTCTGGCGGAGGACGTGGACTGGCGGACGTGCCTGAGCAACGGCTCGTGGAGCGCCAACCCCATCACCTGCGCCCCGCGCTCGTGCGGACCGCCCCCCCGACCCCCCCACGCGCTCGTCCGAGGCGAAGCGTTCACCGTCAACAGCTCGGTGCGCGTCGGCTGCCGCGAGGGCTACCGCCTCGCCGCCGGAGACGGGGTCTCCACGTGCCGGGTGAGACGTCGCAGGGCCGGGTTTGCAAGGCGTGCCGGCGGCGATTTACGCCGGCACGCCACGGGATTGCGCTCCGACGCGCACTGTGCCAGCCGCCCGCTTTGTGTGCTCAGCAGTAGAAAGAGCTGCACCACATCATTAGACCTCCTTTGCCAGTACCAAAATGTAATAATAGGGTTTTTCCCCCCTTTTTTTTCTTTTTCTGGCAACAAAACTGAACACTTTTTACGAGGATTCATGTCTGCATTATATTATCATAGTATGTTTTTGGTTTGCATTTTGACTGCAGGTATTGTGGTTAATGCAGACATGAATCCTTGTAAAAAAGGTTTCAGTTTTGTTGCCACAAAAAAAGGGGAAAAACCCTATTATAGCTGCACCACAGTTAGTCGGTCAGCAGGTCACGTGTTTGTCGGGTAATGTGTGCGTATACTCAGGGGCTCTCTCTCTCTCGAGCTCCCTCTAACGGAGAGCCTTCCGCCAGCAGGGGCGAGAGCGAGCAACTGCAGGGCTGCGCCTTTAGTGAGTTGGCAGATATGAACGTTGTCTCTGTTGGTCTGGATTCTGTGCCCAAGTTTAGGGAAATATTTTGATCAATTTCACATTTTTTTCAATAGAATAAGTCCCCCAATAGCAACAGAATCAGATGTTTCAGTTTAGTTCGTACATGATCATCTTTCAGGGCGGAAGGCCGTACAAAGTTCATACACAAGCGCTCAAATGCAGTATCCAAACTCAAAATAATGTAGGGCAGTGCTGATTTAAATTTGACGAACCCTCAACCAAGTGGGACAAATTCCTCATTCAGACTCGGGCTTTATTATTTCAGCTGGGGAGGCCCCATTGAGCGAAGCGGCTTTGTTACACGGACGACCACAGCCCAATATCATCGGCAGGGACGGCAGCTACAGGACATTGCAGTCACATAGAGTTACATAGAGAGCCATAGAGTTACACAGAAACGCATAGAGTTACATAGAGAGCCATAAAGTTACACGGAAACGCATAGAGTTACATAGAGAGCCAAAGAGTTACACAGAAACGCATAGAGTTACATAGAGAGCCATAGAGTTACACGGAAACGCATAGAGTTACATAGAGAGCCATAGAGTTACACATAAACGCATAGAGTTACATAGAGAGCTATAGCGTTACATAGAGATGCACAGAGTTACATAGAGACTCAGAGACCACAGCCCAAGGCCATTGGCAGTGTCAGCAGTTCAGAATAATATTTATTTATCCTGGAGGAATTCGATGAGCTATAAAGCTCTTTTTCAGAGATGTCCAGTAGATGTAGGTAAGAACGTTACAACAACAACCAATACAATAACACGATAGTAGTGCAAAGTACAAAAACATAAAAAATCACCCAAACACAAACAGATACAACACGAAACCATCCCCATCCAAATTAACCAGAGCAAAAGTAACAACAAACGTGTGACGCGAAACCCACGCTAGAACGTACAAGCAAACAGGACAGACAACAAATATAGTGTTTAGCGACAAATAAAACGGCCATCAAAAATCCTGTCACAGACGTTCGTGCAAATAAACCGTCCGTACATCCTCAGACATCACGGAGTGCTGAACTAGTAACGAATTTGCACGTTTTTTATACGTGACTAGCTTTACTAGCTTTACTACCCGGCTTCGCCCGGCCGCCTTTGTCTCCCCAGTGGCGATGTATACACACCACACCAGTTAATTGTTTGAGGCTGAGTCGACCTAGGGGAGGCCCAGGACCGGTTCAAATAATCTTCACCGGTGGTGGCTGTGAGCGGGAATCGAACTCGGGTTGCCGGGTTCATACCGCGGCGCGCTAACTGCTACACTACCGCTCCCCACACACACAGACACACACACAGACAGGGCGCTAACCACTACACTACAATGCGTTACGCTTCCACATGCGCGGGTCACGTGACAGATTTGACGTCACAGCTCACTTGCCGTGCAAAAAATAAATGCATTATTGAGCTCCCCCCCCAAAACTAAAGTGTATTTTGATAATTTGTGCATGGTGTACAGTTTGGAAAGTATCCACATGGCAAATTTCCAGTTTGTTGCATGTCGGGAAGTACGCTAAACATTTTGAACAGACACATTCACAAATTTGCCTTTTATATATATGGAGACAAACCTTACTGATTGGCTGTGTCGGGTGGTGGCGGGTTTAACGACACATTTATATTTACGTGATCTAACAACAACAACAAAAAAACTCTCTTATGGATAATAGTGGAATATTAAGAGATTTATTTTAGTTAATTTGTTACACTCGATGACATTCTAAACTGAGTCTGCCACGCACGAGGAGGCCGTGGGACCAGGCACGAGTTCTCGATGGAGGAACGGTCACCAGGCACTTGGGAGGGCCGTCTCGGATTTCTTGAAAAATCCGTCACGGGTGGTGGAATCTCCACTTAAAATACTGAGCTAATTTTTGATGAAAGAACTTCGTAGGTGAAGATCCAACAGCGGGCGCCCATCTACGCGCAGAAGAAGATGTACTGGGGTAATATGTTGATGCTTCTGAGAATAAGATAAGTCTTCGGGGTGCATTGGTGTGAGTGATGAGTAATTACAGAAGAACAGAGGATGCCATCACCTCCATTGCCATCACTTAAACCATTATCTCCCTGTCACTTATTTCACGTGATAATAATTTTTCGTAAGTATTTTTTTTTACCGTCATAAAAAACACAAAACGTTTATAAGGAAGCCGGGCGGGCGTATTGCACCCTCCAACAATGAGGGAACGAACAAAGGCTCGCTGCGTTACCACGGTGGGGGTAAGAATTGGTGGGGGGGGGGGGGGGTAACGATTGGTGGGGGGGTAACGATCGGTGGGTAGGGTAACGATTGGGAGCAGTGAATATAAGAGGGGGGGGGGGGAGAGAATATGGAAGAAAGGGGAGGGGGGGAATAATGTAACCAAACAGAACCCAAAAATACATGATAATATTCAGTGGCAATTTCAATCTGTAAAGCACCGCATTCGATGCTCGCTCGCTCGCGAAGAGAGAGAGACCCGAGGAGGAGCCACAGACAGCAGTAGCCAGGCGGCCAGCCGGCGACAAATCTCCCCCTAAGCTCTGCGGTTCTCTATACGCTAAGGTGTTATCAACCAGTTGATGAGTGATTTTACATGTGGGAGGAAACCTAAAGCGCCCGGAGAAAATCAACGCGTGCGAGGAAGCAACGCTCTATCCCATACACCTTCGATTAGCACGGTCGGCTACGTACGGTGCGAAAGACGTTCAACATGCACGGACGCGGAAGAGAGGGATGGAGATTAGTCCACGCTTTCTGTACTGCCTTCTCCTGGCGAGACAGAGTACTACACCTTCCTCCCTGACGCCCACGGGAAGGGAGTTTTGCAACGTTCATGCGGTGATCCATCAACCCTCGCTCCTGTCTCCACAGTGTATGCACCTATGTTGAACTTCTTCTGCACAGTACGTAGCTAACCGCGATAATCAGTGCTGGGTTTACAGGCGTGCACCGGCATCGCCCATCGTCGATACGATCATATCGGAGTGCCTTCAAGAGCCAGCCAAGATTGTCCTCTGTCATTGGCCTACAAAATGTAAAGAGTTAAACATCCAGTGTCAACACATTGGCACATTGGACTCATGGCGTGGTGATTATAATGTTGCAATGCATTGTCTGTGTGGCGTTAGATGTAAAAAAAAAGTCTGACATGACGATTTAATAACAGTTTATGACTTGAGAATAGAGCCTTACTGTGCACTGCTTGAAACTCAATTCTGTTACTTCAAAGTATTTATATCTGCAGCCAAAATATATATCATTGGTAATTTACAACACTGTTGGTGATTGAGAGTTTATCACGCAAAAAAAACCACACGCAAATGGAACACACTTCAACCTAGCCCCTCATGTTCTAGTTTGCTGTAGTGCATCCATTTTAAGGACTATATGGTAATGTATTGCTGGTAGGAACCTCCTGGTTATTACACCAGCCCACAGGGGATTATTGTGTCCGTCCGTCCGTCGTGCATCCAAAAATGGGAGAGGTGGGGCTGGGTGGAGAGGGGAGGATGGGGAGGGAGGGGCTTGGTGGGGAGGGAGGGGCTGGGTGGGGTGTGGGAGGGATGGGGCTGGGTGGGGAGGGGGTGGTCACCCCGTGGTGCCCTTATAAAACTCAACATTGGTAGTGTATTAAGTACTGTATGGTAGTATATTAAGTACTGTATGGTAGTGTATTAAGTACTGTATGGTAGTGTATTAAGTACTGTATGGTAGTGTATTAAGTACTGTATGGTAGTGTATTAAGTACTGTAGGGTAGTGTATTAAGTACTGTATGGTAGTGTATTAAGTACTGTGTGGTAGTGTATTAAGTACTGTGTGGTGGTGTATTAGTTACTTTGTGGTAGTGTATTAAGTACTGTATGGTAGTGTATTAAGTACTGTATGGTAGTGTATTAAGTACTGTGTGGTAGTGTATTAAGTACTGTATGGTAGTGTATTAAGTACTGTAGGGTGGTGTATTAAGTACTGTATTGTAGTGTATTAAGTACTGTATTGTAGTGTATTAAGTACTGTATGGTAGTGTATAAAGTACTGTATGGTAGTGTATTAAGTACTGTATTGTAGTGGATTAAGCACTGTATGGTAGTGTATTAAGTACTGTATGGTAGTGCATTAAGTACCGTATGGTAGTGTATTAAGTACTGTATGGCAGTGTATTAAGTACTCTATCGTAGTGTATTAAGTACTGTATTGTAGTGTATTAAGTACTGTATGGTAGTGTATTAAGTACTGTATGGTAGTGTATTAAGTACTGTATTGTAGTGTATTAAGTATTGTAGGGTAGTGTATTAAGTACTGTATGGTAGTATATTAAGTACTGTATGGTAGTGCATTAAGTACTGTATGGTAGTGTATTAAGTACTGTATGGTAGTGTATTAAGTACCGTATGGTAGTGTATTAAGTACTGTATGGTAGTGTATTAAGTACCGTATGGTAGTGTATTAAGTACTGTATGGTAGTGTATTAAGTACTGTATTATAGTGTATTAAGTACTGTATGGTAGTGTATTAAGTACTGTATGGTAGTGTATTAAGTACCGTATGGTAGTGTATTAAGTACTGTATGGTAGTGTATTAAGTACTGTATGGTAGTGTATTAAGTACTGTATGGTAGTGTATTAAGTACTGTATTGTAGTGTATTAAGTACTGTATGGTAGTGTATTAAGTACTGTATGGTAGTGTATTAAGTACTGTATGGTAGTGTATAAAGTACTGTATGGTAGTGTATTAAGTACTGTATTGTACGGCATTAAGTACTGTATGGTAGTGTATTAAGTACTGTATGGTAGTGCATTAAGTACCGTATGGTAGTGTATTAAGTACTGTATTGTAGTGTATTAAGTACTGTATGGTAGTGTATTAAGTACTGTATGGTAGTGTATTAAGTACTGTATTGTAGTGTATTAAGTACTGTATTGTAGTGTATTAAGTACTGTATGGTAGTGTATTAAGTACCGTATGGTAGTGTATTAAGTACTGTATTGTAGTGTATTAAGTACTGTATTGTAGTGTATTAAGTACTGTATTGTAGTGTATTAAGTACTGTATGGTAGTGTATTAAGTACTGTATTGTAGTGTATTAAGGCAGCTCCACTTGGAGTCGTACTTTGCCTACCCTTCCACGCCGGCTAGACGTCTCGGAAGAGATGGGGGTACCCACACTTTACCCCACCACACGATGATTTGCCGATTGTCTGACTGCGGTGCTTCCCCATTTGTACTGCTGCCTGGGCAGAGGTATTGTGGAGAGGGGGGGGTTATGTCACTTTAATTCGCGTGCTTTCAGATGCGCTTACCCGCGGCCGTCTGGAACGCTCTTCCTTCCCATGTTAGGAAGCCACTGGAGCTACGCACATTTAAATCTAGATCGAAAACTCTTTTTTTCAAGAACTGATTTTTGTGTTTCGTTTCTTGTCCTTTCCCATCACCTCCGATGATCACGGTGGGCTACGCGCGGTGCGAAAGAAGTTCAACATACACACACACACAACTTACACCGTTGTTTCATATCCCGCGCCTGGAGACGGAATGGCGAGTGCCACGTGCTAACCATTACACACCGCTGGGGCAAAACAACACCACCCCAGGGCGTGTGTTCACGAGCGTTTAATTTCTTGACGTCTGTTGCTTTTGTCGCAGGATGATGGAGTTTGGTCTCCGCCTCTGTCAGGAATTTCCTGCGAACCTGCGAGCTGTGGCAGACCAAACGTCCCCGCTCACGGCTCGGTGGACGGGCCCGGGCTGACGTTTGGCAGTGTGGTTACCTTCTCGTGCCGCCAAGGATACGCGTTAGAGGTGAAAGCGAAACGAGAATTGTGATAAGGGGCCGGCCATATATGACGTCACGCACCTAGAGGGGGGGAGGGTCAGACATTTGTGACGATGTGTGACGCGAGGTGAGGGAGTGGGAGACATGTGACGTCACATCAAAATGCGCAACTTTAAATAAATATAGAATTGTTATAACAACACTCCTACAACATCAGAGTGCAGCGCCACATTAAATACGCACTACGATGACAATCGTTTAAAGCGATTTGAAGCACGTTTCATTTTCAAAATGGCAACATGGTTTTGGGGAGGGGGGGAGCTTTGTGACGTCATATTTGAGGGGGGTCTGACTTTTTGTGACGCCGTGTGACGAGGGGGGCGGGGTCAAAAATCGTCCATAATCGCGTGACGTCATTTATGGACGGCCCCTAATCAGTAGTCGCCGCCGTGTGACTCCTTAATTCTCACGACATTCGTCGTTAAATTCACCAAAACCGCTGTGGCAGTGTTGCGACGCATGTTCAGAAGCAGCTGACGCCATCGCTTCAACTGCCACTGAGCTTATACGGCTCTGTGGGCCTTACCTGGTAAAATAAAAATCTATTTAAGAAAAAAAAATGATCAACACAACAGGAGAAATTATGCTACGATGCTACTGCACCGCTAAGCGCAAACACAATCAACGACAACAACAAAAACTCCACGCATTCGTCAATAACTGTGACCTTCGATAATAATTCTAGATTTTAAGCTTTCGTGACTGCAAGGATCCATACTCTTTGGTTCTATTCGGTAAAGTCACGTAGGTAAAAAATAAAGCAACAAAAATCACGACGTTTCGGCCACAACACAACTGACCTTCTTAAGGTGAAAGGGATAAACCTGTTGGGACGACAGAGCTTCAGTAAACGCTGTTAAGATTCGTAGCGCCCTTTTAAGCTGGTCGAGCGAAGGTCAAGCACCCAAGCAGTAGAATTTAGCATTGAAAAAGGTCGATAATAATTTTTTGTTGTTTTTAAATAGGTGACATTTCAGGGCAATGTCCGTTCTTCCTAGCACACCGAAAAAGATGGCAGGGAGGTGGCGTGGATGGCCAGGCTTGAGACTCCACTGTATACCACGGGAGCCTGAGGAGATTTACATTTTAAAAAATGTCTCCCGATGAACAGTTTTTAATTTTCCTTTGCATATTAACGCGACATTTTACCGTCTGAGTTGCAGCAGTTGAAGCGATGGTGCGTGTTCCTTAAGCCCCTCTCTCAATCTCCTTTCACCCGACAGTATGCCACAGTTGATAGGTGAATTACGTGCGGTGGGCTAAAGTGTGGGTACTCACACCTCTTCCAAGATATCTGCCCAGCGTGGAAGGAGTTGGTCAAAGTGCGCTGTGGGGAGCTGTCCCTAGTGGAGACGCTTCCGCCTGCAGAGGCATCAGCAAGCAATTGCAGGGCTGTGCCTCTACCGTTACGCTGCATTGGGTTAGTGGGAGTTGGAGCTTTGGTTAAGGAGATTGATCAACATTCAGGAACACGTGGGTTCACACCCAGTCTGGGGTCGACTTCAGGTTTTTGACGATGAGTACCACTGTGTGGGAAGTCCACCGTAGTTCGGATGGGAAGACTGACCCCCGGCATAGAAATGTGGAATTTCCATCACCGGATCAGGGCCTCCGTTGGAGATGTCACCCCACTGCCCAATCAAGCAGGGAGACGCGGTCTCTGGGTCTCTGTCTGAACCTCTGTCTCTACTTAAGTTGCTGGGTCTCTGTGGACCAATCAGTTTCAAGACAATGCATCATATCTTGATTTCAAGCTTTCGTGACTGCAGGAATCCATTCTCTTTGGTTCTTTCGGTCCCACTGCTGGTTCAGCAGTTGAACTGCTGGATTATTTTTTCCGCCTGAGGACGACCGCTTGTGTTGCGATCGAAACGTCGTGATTTATTTTATTTTTCTACCTACTTGGTGACTTTACCGAAAGAACAAAAGAGAATACATCATATATCACCGAAGCATGTTTTTGTTTGCATGTTCACCACAAGTATGTGTGGTTAATGCACTCCATCATTCCTCGTAAAAGGTTTCTGTTTGGTGCTTTAACATCTCAATACCTCCTGTTTTATCGCCAGACAGGGTTTTAACATCCATTCTTGTACGAATCCGACTTGCGGCAGGGCCCATCTCAGCTATCCTGCCTGAGCAACGGCTCCTGGAGCGCGGCGAGCCCCGCGTGCGTGGCCGCGTCCTGTCCACCGCCCTCCGCGCCTCCCCACGGCTTCGTCGCGGTGGTCTCCTATTCTCTGGGAGGCGTCGTCCGCTACGAGTGCGACGCCGGCTACGTCCTGCACGGCGCCCGCAATCGAAGTTGCTTGCCCAGCAGGGAGTGGAGTGGCTCACCGCCCGCCTGCGTTGGTGAGTCGCCGTTGGCTCGTCGCGGGACAGGCGGGCGCTTGTTTTGCGCTCGTTGTTTTATTTCTCGAGGATGTTGTTCTCACTTTTGTCTCCTGAGGTTGGTTTGCGTTGCGTGTTAGGCGCGTCGGACCGCGTTAATTGGTCGTGGCGAGCGGTCGTGCGGCCGTGAGCGCTGCGCTACGGAGCCGGCGACCCGAGTTGGATTCCCGCTCACGGCCACCAACACCGGTGACTAAAATCTGAACGAGTCTTGGGCCTCCCCTAGGTCGACCCAGTCTCAAATGAGTACCTGGTGCGGTGTGTAAACATCATCACTGGGGAGACAAACGCAGCAGCCGGGTGTGGTGTTGGCCACCCACCCCATCGTGTGCCGTACCGGCCTTCATAGGTGCTCGCTAACAGCACTTGCCCCAACAGTGTTAAGGCCACACGGGGGTCATTCTTGTATAATAACTATTTGGCTCAATGAGCATTACCAGCAGAAAGACAATCTGAGTCAGATTGTGAAGACTGCAAGTGGCGTGGACACGTTACGAGAATGAGGCCGGACTTGGCAATGCTGAGCCAAAGCAAGGGAAGACAGAGAACGGGTGGGGGGGGGGGTGGGGGGGTTATAGACTCAGGGGTGGAAGATCTTGAAGATCAAGGATTGAGACTGAGGGTAGCAGTGATGCTGGCGAAAGAACGAGAACCGTGATGGAATTTAATTCAGCCCCATCGTCGCTGAACAGCTGAACGGAAGGGACAGATTATGGTGAAACCTATGTAAACAAAATTAGCAATTGTATTTATACATATTTTTATATTTTCTTAATTTACATTCCAACTATAAACATACAGTCCGGTTACACAGGTCATAACGCCTCCTTATTTACAGAGCTCATATTTGTGACTTTACTGGGTTCGCTGATATTTTCCTAAAATGAACGCAGAGGTGGAGGGGAGCAGGAGGAGTGGTGGACATGTGGGAGGTATAGGAGCCGCGCCATGCCACGTGTTGAACTGGGAGGCCGATGTCACACAGTCAACAAGGCCTGCGTCCTGGTGACACTGGGCCCAAGGAACTCAGATGTTGAGGGTGGTTTAAATGGGTCATGCAGGAATGGGTCCCATACTCTTTATAAGCCTGACTCCTATCCTTTAAGCGTGCATGTATCTCAGATGGTCTGAAAAACATGCTCAGACCATCTGATGCGCTTCTGCGGTCGTCGGGAACGCTCTTCCTTCCGATATTAGGAAGCCACTGGAGCTGCGCTCAGTTAATTCGTAATTGGAAACAAATTTTTTAGTAACTGCTTTTAGTGTTCAGTTTGTTGTCCTTGCCCTGCACCTCCGACTCCGAATGATCACGGTTGGATACGTTGCATCGCGAAATAAGTTCAACATATATACACGGCCGAGTGCAGCGGTTGCAATTTAAAAGACAGCGTAGGTATCCCGGTGAACATGTTTGTGCCTCTTTCGTGCCATTGCGTTGTGCAGAACAGTCCTGTGAACCCCCTCGGCCGATAACCAACGGCAGATTGGTCCGGGCCGGGCGCGGCGATGCTGGCGCGCCCGCGGCAGATGCTCGATCCAGCTTCGCGGCCGGCAGCACGGTTGAGTTTGCGTGTGACGAGGGATATCGGCTGGAGGGGTCCAAGCGGAGCTCTTGCACCGGGATCGGTGAATGGAGCGTCGCTCAACCGGCGTGCGTCAGTAAGTGTCCCACATGTTAGTTTAGCCCGCACGCGCGTGCACGCATCCATATTGCGGTGGTCCCTCGGTTTACGGTGCTGTCGATTAACGATAATTCGATTAACGATAATTCGATTAACGATCCGCCTCCCATAGGGGTCCCCCTATTGTTTCTCTTAACGATACATTTTCGGTTAACGATATCGTTATGATATCACGCGGCCGCCAATTTCGGCCAATCGAAGCGCTCCCAAGTGGACTTGGCAGACCTCAGCCAATCAGCGACGCCCTTTAAGCCAACCATGTTCTTAGCCTAAGGTAAGAATTTGTATTATATTCTGTATATTTATCTATCCATCTTTAAATGAACGCTTTAATATGTTCTTATGAAGTTTATTTATAAAAATTGCGTGTTTAAATATTGTAAACTATGTTTTTAGAGTGAAAAAGGTCAACTTTCGATCATCTTGGAGCAAATTTAGCATGTAAAATGCATTTCCCGTATTCAATTAACGATAACTTAAATCAACGATGGTTTTCGTGGAACAAATTAATATTGTTACCCGAGGGACCATTGAATGAGGTCGTTTCTTTTGCGTCCACGTGTGAATGTGTTTTGAGTTTCGTTCGCTACTGCTGGCAAGAGAACACCAAAGCGGGGGGGCGGGGGGGGGGGGGGGGCGGGGTGCTTTGAAAGCTACTGGTGCAAAAAAATAACGCCGGAGAAAATTGAGGAAATCGGTTTCAGAAAGCATTCCAGATTAGAAAAGACGAGGGGTAGAGGTTGGGGCAAGAGTGAGCTGGGTAGGTAGACTCACTGAAGACGTGGATATGGAGCAGGAAGGGTTAAACGTGAACAGCGCGAGATAATTAGTGCGGAACGGAGAGCGGTGGGAGGCCTTCATGCGGCCCCATCATCGCGGAAGCTGATGCAAGGGAAAGGCAGAAGAGCCGAGTAACGTATGAAGCACATTTTGTTTATGCGTGAAGCAACCGTAAACATTTAATTCAAGAAATACGTACAATCATAAACCCAGAATGAGTTTGCAATCGTGCAATCGGAAGATTGCAAGTTCAGATCCCCATTCAGGGGTCAGCTCAGTCCATCATAAATATTTTCCTTTAAAATAGGCACCACTGTGTGAAAATGGTGGTTATCCCGCCCCTTGCCATAGGAACGTGGATCGTCAACACCGGACTAAAGCTGCGAATGGAGATTGGCGATGCTCCATGCTCAATTAGTAGCAATTGTTGAAGTGCAGCGCTTTGTTAATCCACTGCTGGATTGAATGTCGCCCTCCTCAGTGTCGGTGTCATGGGCGTTGTTTGCCCCCATACTTCAGCACTGAACTATAATTGTTTTTATTTTACCAGGCAAGGCCCCACTGAGCTACTACGTAGCTCTTTTTCAGAAGCGACCTGGCTATCGCAAATGATAGCTCAACAAAGCGGCTCATCGCTTGGACGTTTATCGCAGCCAAAGTGCTCTAAATGCAAGTTTCTATATGTGGAGGGAAAAACCGGAGGACCCGGAGAAAAATCCACGCCGCCACGGGGAGAGAGAGATAGAGAGAGAGACGCAAACTCCAAATATACAGGCATCGTCAGGATCTGGATCAAGCCCACAACATCCTGTATACCAGGCGAGGTAGTTAACATCTTGCCACCACGGCTCCCAAACCTGCTTTATTTATTAAGCCTGCTGCAATTATCACCACTGCTGCTAACCGTGGCTGGGAATCAAACACAGGTGTGTGAGTTCATAGCGCAGTTAGCTACCCACTGCGTCACCACTCCCCGTATTGTGACACCATGTCTTCGTATTGCTGCATATGTTATTGTAGGAGTCTACTGTGGAACCCCGGTGCCAGTGATGAATGCCATAATGCGTGGCATGTACTATCAATACGGGGACATGATTACCTACTCGTGCTACAGCGGCTACATGCTGGACGGGCCAAGCCGCAGCTTCTGCCTGCAAAATTCAACCTGGAGCCTGCAGCCTTCTTGCAAAGGTATGTCTCCAGCCGTTTTATCAAACCCATGAGGATTCCTCTCCAGCTATAGTTTCTGGTGGGCCATATGATACAACTGGTGTGGGTACTTTGCCTTCCTTCCACACGTATAAACATTCCATGAAGAGTTGTCTAAGCAGCCGCAGAGCATGGTCAATTGTTGGTAGTGCCAGTCCTGGCTGGCTTCCCGATTGTTTGTGGTTTCCCGTACCTCTAAATCATTGACTTTGTGTTTTTTTGTCGGGCGGCAACACTCTCTCCCATACAGAGTCACGTTCTGAATGGCTTAGCGCAGTCGTGGCAGCTTCGAGTCTACGAAGACGACGTGAAGACCGCGTGCGAGCGTTTGAACTAAATTATTCGAATGAATAGCCACGCGATGCGGCAACCGCATCGCGTGGCGCTTTCAGATGCGCTTCTGCTGCCGTCTGGAACGTTCTTCCTTCCGACATTAGGAAGCTACTGGAGCTATGCACTTTTAAATAATCTAGATTGAAACCTCATTTCTTTAGAACTGCTTTTTGTGTTTAGTTTGTTGTCCTTCCCCCGCACCTCCAATTAACGCGGTTGGCTACGTACGGTGCGAAAGAAGTTCAACACACACGTACATTCCATCCCGTTCATTTGATGGCGGTGTTCGATGTGCAGCTGTTTGCAGGTTCCCCTGCCAGAATGGAGGATTGTGCCTGAGGCCCAATTCGTGTTTCTGTGCTGAGGGCTGGATGGGGCTACTGTGTGAGGAGCGTAAGTACCGATGCGATAATGCACCACATACGAGGGACCGTTTTTGTATGTGGGCTCGAGCGACCAATGTCGCATAAGTAGTTTCAATTCGGTAAGTATTTTTTTTAACCCTCTCCCATTCTGAGACATCTGCAAGTTGCAGGGTGGGGTCCCGTTCACCGCCGAATCTCGGAACGCGCAAGCGGTTCAGACAAATGTGTTTTTTTAATTTAAAGAGCCATAGTGCCGTTGGGTATAAAGACATTGTACTCACCGCAGAGAACTCGAGCGACACGACCGCACTCTAAGATAGCTGGCGCCAAACTGTGCCACACACCCTCCCGCATGGCCTTGTGGGAGCCTCGGTACCGGTAAAGTTATTTTATTTTATTTTTTCTTCTGGTTAGAAAGAAAAACCGATGTTCGTTCCGATGACGTACGTGTACGTACGTCATCGAAACGGACAAGGACGAAGCAACAACCGTCAACCACCCAGCAGGGCTCATCAAATCAAACAAAAATAAATATCTTCTGGGTTCTTTCGGTAAAGTCACGTAGAATGGGAATAAAATAATAAAAATAATAACAGAATAAAATTCTCACGACGTTTCGGCCACAACACAAGTAGCCTTCCTCAGGTGAAGAAACAGGACTGTGCGGAAGACAGCGCTTGATTGAACACTGCCAAGCATGGACAGCGTCTTTTAAGCTGTGTGGGAGAAACAGAGCGCCTTGACAAAGGAGTTAATATAAATTAGCATGTAACTGGGGGATTAGCATGATGTAGGTGTGAGGGATTATCAGCAGTCTACATATCAACAGTAAATTAGCATGTAACTGGGGGATTAGCATGATGTTAGTATGAGGGACGAGCTTGTGTTCAGACGGACGAGTCCATCTATGTTCAAACGGAGGAGGGGGGGGGGGAAGAGGAGGAAACAGCCACGGTGCGCTGCTCTGTCCTGTGTTGCGTTATAACTATGCTATAAACTGGACTACTATACAATATTATACCTTCCAATCTAAACTACATTGTATAATATCGTATACATAGACAAACTAAGTTGCCTCTGTGGTAGCAGCTACATTGGAGAAACCAAACGACAAATCTCGGACTGCATCCGGGAACATAAAGCAGACTTGAAACACGGTAGGACGAACACCTCAGCCATGGCAGATCATTGTTATAATTCAGTAGGCTCACATGACATTGACTTCTCCAAGACGGAGGTTCTTTGTAAGCCATCTGGCTACCATGAGAGATTCGTTCATGAGGCTATCCACATATACAAACACAGAGACAATTTCAACCGAGAAGATGGATTATGGCTTAGTAACTATTGGAAAGACGTTATAAACCATTTCGGTTCTTGATTGTTTGTATTTTACGGTGACTTTCAGACCGCAGTCCATTCGCTGGCACTGCCTATTAGTACCTATCACACGACGGTCAATAGTATAGTTTATAGCATTTGTATAATAACTAATAGTATAACAGTGTAATGTTTAACATAATTCATAAGGCAATATACAGTACCGTAATTGTATAGTGAATATATAGCAGTGTGGTATACAGTAGGGTTAATAGAATAATACATAGTGTAATACTACAAGTCTAATATTTTATAGTCTAAAGTATAGGGTAGTGTATTGTATAATTCAAGGGTGGGGTTTGTCTATGTATACGATATTATACAATGTAGTTTAGATTGGAAGGTATAATATTGTAATGTATAGTAGTCCAGTTTATAACACAGTACAGAGCAGCACACCGTGGCTGTTTCCTCCTCTTCCCCCCCCCCCCTCCTCCGTTCGAACATAGATGGACTCGTCCGTCTGAATACAAGCTCGTCCCTCATACTAACATTATGCTAGTCCCCCAGTTACATGCTAATTTACTGTTGATATGTAACCTTCTGCTAATCCCTCATACTAACATCATGCTAACCCCCCAGTTACATGCTAATTTACTGTTGATATGTAGACTGCTGATAATCCCTCACACCTACATCATGCTAACCCCCCCAGTTACATGCTAATTTACTGTTGATATGTAACCTTCTGCTAATCCCTCACACCAACATCATGCTAACCCCCCCAGTTACATGCTAATTTACTGTTGATATGTAGACTGCTGCTAATCCCTCACACCAACATCATGCTAACCCCCCAGTTACATGCTAATTTACTGTTGATATGTAACCTTCTGCTAATCCCTCACACCAACATCATGCTAACCCCCCCAGTTACATGCTAATTTACTGTTGATATGTAGACTGCTGCTAATCCCTCATACCAACATTATGCTAGTCCCCCAGTTACATGCTAATTTACTGTTGATATGTAACCTTCTGCTAATCCCTCACACCAACATCATGCTAACCCCCCCAGTTACATGCTAATTTACTGTTGATATGTAGACTGCTGCTAATCCCTCATACCAACATTATGCTAGTCCCCCAGTTACATGCTAATTTACTGTTGATATGTAACCTTCTGCTAATCCCTCACACCAACATCATGCTAACCCCCGCAGTTACATGCTAATTTAAATGTAAACTCCTTTGTCAAGGCGCTCTGTTCCTCCCACACAGCTTAAAAGACGCTGTCCATGCTTGGCAGTGTTCACTTCAGCGCTGTCTTCCGGACAGTGCTGTTTCTTCACCTGAGGAAGGCTACTTGTGTTGTGGCCGAAACGTCGTGAGAATTTTATTCTGTTATTATTTTTATTCTTTTGTTCCCATTCTACGTGACTTTGCCAAAAGAACCAAGAAGATGAATCCCTGCAGTCACGAAAGCTTTAAATCGAAAAATAAATATGCTTGCTTTCCTGCATTCTGTTTTTTTGAAAACCACATCAAATGGCATATTTGATTGGCTATATCGGCCTAGTTATAGTAAAAAAAACTATATTATACGACGTGATTTAACCCAAAATAAATTAGTTATTAATCATATGTGCGAGAAAGTAACACAAACACTCCAATTAATGTGAGAATGACTCATACAGCAAAATAATAATTCGCAACCATTTGTTAATCCACTGCTGCATGAAGCCCTCCCCATGTTGTGTTAGTCATGGGGGGTACTAAAATCACAGATGGGGGTGAGCCAGAACTACTTCAGACACGGTGATATCACTCACCGCTGACGTTAGCTATGGCTGGGATTAAAACTCGAGTCTCCATGTTCACAGGGCAGTGCGCTAACCGCTATGCTGCTACTGCTCACATTATAAGCACTGTAAATCTTTAAATTGGACCGAGCTAATCAACTGCTCCATTCACAGTGGATCTTGAAAGGCAGCAGCAGGCTTCACTGCCCATGTCCAAACCAGGACAAATGTGGGCACGTGTGAAATCTTGTGTGAAACACGCATTACAGCGCTAATTATTCCACAGCCACACATCTTTTTTTAAAGGTGTTTCTCAAATTCAAAGGAATTAATTGACATTGATGCCTATTGTGCTGCATGTCAGGTTACACACAAGTATTAGTTGTGATGGGTCTGTTGAGTTGTAATTGAGTGGCGCTTGTGCAGCAATACCCCTGTTTATGTCTTCCCCTTTTACGTCTTTTCACAAACACGTCCTTACGCTGTTATTATTATTACTGTTAACACCGTTACTAGCTCATGATTTGCGTCGCCTCAACCCCACAATCACGTCGCTGTCGGCATCGTCGTCCGTCTGTTCTCGTTATCCGTCGGCTCTCAGCCTACGCCTCCACCACCGCCTACCCCACCTGCAAATCGCTTCGATGAACGTCGTTTCGATATCCGTCGTCGCACCTTTCAGGAACGCATCCCCGACGTAAGACCGGGGTATGACCGTAGCATAGTTTAAACATTTAGTACTGAAATTGTATTTAAGAATGTAATGATAATGGTTCCTCCATGCAGCACTTAATAAAAGCATTCGCTCCCTTGAAGTTGTTTTCATTTCTCTCTCTCTCTCTCTCGTCTCAATTGCTTCTCTGTTTTACTGACTATCTCTTGCCTGTCTCCCACTTCATGATAGCTTTACATCCTGTGACATGCGGGCCGTGTTGGAACCTACGGGCGCCATCCCATGCTCCGTAATGTGTCCTGTCTCTCCCCTCGTGATGCTAGCTATCTGCATCCTACCGTGCCTGAATGGTGGTCGGTGCAAGGCACCCTACCAGTGCGAGTGTCCGGACGGCTGGCAGGGCTCGCGCTGCCACCTCGGTGAGTGCCAGCAGCAGCGGCGGCGGCAGCGGCGGCGTGGTTGTTGTTGTTGTTGTTGCTGTTGTTGTTGTTGCCCGTTTGCTCGCGCAGTTGTATCATCGCGTCGTAACGTATCGGCACGCTTGCGCCGCTTCGCACTGCGCGGGCACCCCACGGTGTTTCGCGGAGCGCGACTGCCAATAGCATTGCGCAACCCGGAGGCAATTGTTTTAGCGGGCCTGACTCGTTTGATGAGATTCACGCAAGTTGAAGCCCGTCCAGCGTTTGGATGCTTAACCAAATTCTGCTGGGAAACGTGGAAGACCCACAGGCTGATGGACTGAAATTATTATGTTGTCCCACTGATGGTAATGTGCACGATTTCCAAAACAAGCCACATCAACAGCTTCAGAACGGAAAATCGTCGCTGGCGCCGACACCTCCTCCTCCTCCACAAGTGGAGAATTAAAGACAACCCAAGGCGTGACTGCGGCCACCCACACCAGACAATGGAAACGTCATTACGTTCTCTCTCATAACTTGATCTCATCGCTTTCTTTCCCTTTGTCTCTCTGTCGATGCGGTAGTCGTGCAGAGTTCCAGATACAATTCGCGGATAGCCAAAATCGCGGGCAGCAAGTTCGTGAATAACAAGGGAACACTGTACTAAGTTTTGATGAAGATTGATGCTGGATGTAATCTCCAGCGAACCGTCAAATAAAATGTACCCAGGGAAGCTTTACAGCATATTTGCCCGTGACGTGACAACGTGTTACGATTAGCTCTGTCGAATGGTGGAGGGTTAACGTAAAAAAAAATCACCATACACTACATGATCTAACCCCAAAATAAACCATTTATAGATCATATTGTGCATGATGCTCAAAGTTACGGTCCGCGTGTCATCATGGCCGATGCTGCAGGAATCATATTCAATCTCTGTGATTCTACTTACCTTGGTTGACTTCTGCAGGCATCATACTTTTCTTCTCCTATGGATGATTGCAATGGTAAAACAAATGATGTCCATTTGATTGGGATTATACCTTTAGTACATTTGGGTTATTGCAAATTGGGTTATTAGTTTGGGCTCTACTCCTACACAACCAACCCGAATATACGATTCGGTTAAAATCAGTACCGCTGTCAAAGCCTTAAACAGAAATGAAATGGGATTTAACCGAGATTCTGCCAAAGAAGAATAGGAGTTTCCATTGCAATTATATTGTGAATCTAGTTCAGATAAGCTTTGGCTATGTGTAGTAGCTTAGCTTAACATCGCCATTTCTATCAATTTTGGTCATTCTGGATGATTCTGAGTGGCCATAATTGCCATTTAAATATATGTATGTATGTTGAACTTCCTTCGAAATTGCCAATGCCTGGTGCATGGAATTGCCCTTATTCCATCCATGCACAGAGAAGCTAAGTGTATAGCCAAGGCGTACGTACGCACACAGCTGCCACGTCTAAACGCTAGGCTATAGCCAGTGTTAAGTATACCAACAGTTGCCCTGTAAATACGCTAGGCTATAGCCATGGATACATATACTTAACTGCCGAGTGTAAATGCTAGACTATACCCAAGGCTATATGTACACGAATCTGCCCTATTTGTAAGCTACACACACGCATAGCCGCTCTGCGTATACGATCCCATTAGTATTTGATTGTAAGAATGGACTCACGGATTCCAGGAATTTGCCCATCTTTAAATGTTATGATAAGCGACACGCTTCAATCCGTTATCTCTGTTTTTATTCAGGGCTAAAAGAAGTGTCGGGGATGAATTATCCCTGCTCGCTTCAATGTCATGTGCATAAGAGCATTATCGGTCGGAGTTAGTATTTTTTTCAAATGTATATTATTCACGGTGCATTAAAAAACCCCTAAATCTAGTATGTGCTGTAGCGGTGGATTGTGCTTTATTACAAGAAGAAATAAACACACACACACACGCGTCCCTTACACCACTAGAAATAGCGTAAAATATTACACCGTTCAATCAGCCTACGGACTTTCTGGACCAATGTTTTCCAGCGTCATTTGCTTAAGCTGGAAAACTGTGGCCCAATTTTGAGAAAGTTGAAAGTGATCCAAATTTTTTTGTTTTCCTTCTTAAACAAATAAATAACTGCTGGAAAAAACATCGGTGTAGTGTTTAGCTAATTGTTCCTATGGCAAGTTGCAATGAATTGTTAAAACCCCTTTCCTTTACGTTTTGGACATCGTGGCAATGTTCCAACGCATTCCATACGTACTGTACCGCATGTGCACTGACTCGCTCCAATTTTTTCAACAGCTGTGTGTCGAAAGCCGTGTCTGCACGGTGGCAAGTGTGTCGGCCCCAATCGGTGCCAGTGTCTGCCAACCTGGAGTGGGCAAGATTGTTCTCGGTCAGTATTTTTTGTTCAAAAAAAAAATCCACACTAACGCTCCGCAGCCTGTCCAGTCAATGACTAAGGTGTCCAATATTGTAAATGTGAGAACCGAAGCCATCATGGTAAGTCCTCTCTTTACCGATTTTACCACTGACTTAACGATATCAATTTAGCATGCGTTCCTGGGGATAATTCATTGGTCAAAATTTGCATAAAAATATGAAATAAGTACCAAAAAAGATAACAAAAGATACCCAAGAAGAAGAAGAAGTTATATGAAAAGTCTAAATAGTTAATATAAGTTTAAACATAGTCCTCGCCAGAGTTGGTGGCGAATATTGCATTGAGTGATCTGGTATGGGGTGAAGGGGAGCTGAGGGAGTGCCGCGTTAGGGAGATGTTAACTACCTCGCTAGGTATACAGAGGGGTCGTGGGTTAAATCCCGGCCCTGACGCCCGTTTAGAATCAAGTGTTTCCAGTATTTGGTTGCTATACATTTCCACATAGTGATTGAGCTGTCATTTGTGATGGCCAGGTCGCTTCTAAAAAAATAGCTATACAAAGTAGCTCAGTGGGCCTTACTTGGTCAAATAAAATTAGTTTGGGGAGTAGAGGATGGCGAATGTTGTAAACACTGACGAGAGTTGAGCGCCCGCTAGGAGGCGCTGTGCCACTGTGTGTCCTGCGGTTCTTTTCATGTTTTCAAAACAACGTTGTCGTGATTCAGTGCATTAAATCGAACTGCGTTGCCTATAATTCGTTGGTGACGTTAGAGGGAATCAACGTAGATAGGAGCAACATAAATAGAGGATTTATCATTAGGCCATCTCTTTTATTTTTTATTTGATTAAACCGCGGAAATGTTAAAGTGGTGATGCGCCAGAAACTCGTCCTTCAACGGGCAGGAAATTCACCGAGGTATTAAAGTAATTGATCAATCAGAGCATGAATCCATTGACTTATACCAAATAATCATGAGATTAATATATTATTTTTTAATCATGAGATATTATAATCATGAGATTAATGTAATATATTATTTTAGTATCTGGTGCATTGTGTCCTGCTTCAACAGCATTTGCCCCGAGTCTGTGAAAGGCTATATGGGGGGTCGTATTTTGTATAATCGTACTCCATAAATGATTTGTGATATTTGCTGTTATAGTTTTACTATGTTATATATTTTTTTATTTAAAGCTTTCGTGACTTTATATTTGTTAAATGCGATTGGGTGCTGCGTGATTTTATTGTTTTTCAGACGTAAGAAGGCGGGCTATTACAAATTTTAAGAAGAAATTTGTCTACGGAAGAATCCGCAGTTTTCACAAGAGATCTGAATGTATACTATGGCTTTCCATAGATTGTTGCTTAATACTATAATATAACAGTACTACTATTGAACATCAATGTTTTCGGTCATAGTAGTGAATGCAGCCATATGATTCTTGCAAAAAAGGATAGGGAGTTAAGGTGACATTGCCCTTCTTATGCTGTAACTTTTTTCATACAACACATATTACGATTCTATCCAAAAGCGGCTGTTTGACTCAATTTGCACGGCGAATTATTTTTAGTCAAAAGGTCGTTGTGACTGCTCAGATCCTAATTGAAATGCGCCACTGCAGGAGGGAGCGTTTTTTTCTCCCTTCATATTTACAACTCCGCGTTAGGAGTGGCGCTTTGCCGTAATGACAAAGTTGTCTGCGTGTGTTGTCGGATTTTGCCAACAATTAATAGATTGCGGTAGCTCGAGGCTCTGCTGATAGGACGATACCCACGCGGAAACACCTCGATCACACCAAGGCGGTGTGATGGAGGTGATCATTTGCACGTCTTTCTTTGCCCCCCAAAGGATGACATTGCGACGTCAAGCGTAACACAATCACCGGGTATTCCATTCACTTTATTTTTTTTAATCTAAAGTAGACTAAGCGTTAGTTTACTCTGTGTCGAGAAGGATTTTGAAATTATATGAGATGAATAATAGTGATGATAAAAATCCAATAACATTTTTTAGTAAAATCTGCCACACTCAAGAGCAGGACTCACATGATGTGGTATAAGTGTTATCCACAACAGTGGTTTTTGGGTTAGATCGTGATCGTGATCTAACCCAAAAACCTCTTATGGATTATATTGGTTGCTAAAGCTTACATGTTAAACTGATATAAATGCTCACGGTACGACAGAATTTTTATTTTTGCGATATGATGACAATTGTGATTTCAGATTCAAATAATCTTGCAATTAGCAATCTATTACATTATGTGCTGTGCTGCACATCCAGTGAGAATACATAGTGAACATTTTTTTCAACCACAGTTCACTCAACAGAATGCTTACAGGAAATAAAGCTGACAATGCACATGCCGGCAGTTACGTAATAAATAAGTAAGTAAAAAAATTCTTGAACTACAAAAATAATGACTTGATATCACAACCATGCCGTCAATTGCTCCAGAAAACGTTTTGAATCTGGGCCGGCGCCCATGATGAAACCATTGTTTGCCGAGCTGCACTGGCTGGCGGTTGCCGAACGAATAACATTGTAAGGTCGCACTCATTAGCACACAAAGTGCTTGCCGCTAATGAACAACAACACCTTGCTGATCTCCTCGAGAAGTCTAGACCATCACGTTAACTTTTGGCTAACCATTGAACAAAGACGGTCACTGCATCGCGCGCTTTTAGACGCGCTTCTGCGGTCGCCTGGAACGCTCTTCCGTCCAATACTAGAGAGCCACTGGGAGCTGCGCACTTTTAAATCTTGATTGGACACTAATCTCTTTAAAACGCCTTTCTGTGTTTAGTTTGTTGTCCTTCCCCCGCACCTCCGATTAGCACGGTTGGCTACGTATAGTGTGAAAGAGGTTCAAAATACGTAGGTTTTCATGAGGAATGATGGTCTGGGCCCAGACACCCAAGGCTGCATAGAAAAACCACAGCGTTATAATTTTCACCTAATTTGGTTACAATTCCTGCTGTGAGAAGAAAAATGAAACTCAACATCAGCGGCAAGGCGTCTGGGAAAGTGCCACCTCGTGTGTGCACTACAAAGGTCAATTGAAGGGAATCTAAATTCCACCTGCCCAATGTCTCAAACACCGCGTCCCTGCCGTGTGTCAGTCGGGAATAGACGCTTCGGCTTGTGATGATGCCCGATGGCACAATGGAAATAAACTTGTGTTAATGAGAAAAAAAAGACGCGTCCAATAGTAGCAACATTATATTAAAACTTGTTTTGCATTTATGTATACAATTATGCTCATGGTTAAATGTGAATTATCCTTCATTGCAGTGACAGAATATCCGTAACCAGTTGTAATTTTGTGCTGGTTGGTTGGCGTTTCAGGCCTTTGGACCTGTGCTTAGCAACCATTATTAACGAAACTAAATATACAACTATTTGCATCCAATCAAAAAACGTTCCCGTTTCAACTGCCGTGCCAGGAGACTGAACCGGTGACCTCTGGATTGCAAGTCCATTGTGCTAACCATTACACCATTGTAGCAGCTTTTCCGAATTCTTGTCCACTCCATATTGGTCTCTTTTTTTGAAAGCATTTAACATTACATGGATCGTATTACCGAACCCCTGATTACAATTGCCATTTCATCTACTTGATAGCGTATTAATTTTGATAGCGTATATTTGCTGAAAACCTCTCAGTCTTCAGGGCCAATAACGTTATAATACATATGAATAGCTTCTCTGGCCACTGCATCTAAAATAATCGTTTGTCATTACAGCCATTTCATGTATATTAATTGGCTGTAATGCAGGCCCCTTTTCACACATTGTCAGACACGCTTATGCCTATGCCGGAATCGGAGCTCTTTGTTTGTTTTTTGGATCGCAACGCGTGTTGTTGGGCACGATATCCGACGTTTTGCTCCAAGGGCTGTTCACGAAACAAATCAGTTCCTGAAGATGCTCCCAGCTCACGAATCGAAACGTCGGACAACCGGACAACATTGCAAATGTATACAGCACAATCACAAAAACCTACCCAGTGAGAGCCACAGCATTCATATAACAATAATTATTGTTGTTTGTGGTTGTTCATTATACATAGGCCTGCGATGTGCAGTGTCGTTGTGGTATATTTGAGCCCATTGGTTGTGTAATATCAAAGGCTGCACAATAATATTCATACTGTATTGCATCAAGCAGAGTTTAAATGTGTACTGTATTATATTAACTTAGCTTGAACGGTGTTTAAACTTACATATGTTGACATCGGTTTTTTTTTGTTCATACAATCAACAAGTACTGTATACTTTCTTCCACGGCAGATTATTACTGCACGTTGTACGATTAAATAACGTTTAAAATCAGTATTTTTCGGGGTTCTATTTAAGTGTGGATTCTATTGATGAGATAACTTGAATTGTGGAATGTCTAATGAGCGAGGTTGTATTTGCCAATCACATATTACCACGTACACTTTTGCGAGCAATATCGACACAGGTTTTTGGGGTTAGATCGTCTAAATATAATTGTGTCGTTCAACCCGCCACCATCCGATATAGCCAATTCGTAAGGTTTGTCACGAATTTTGGCTGTCGGTCTGACGAGCTTGGTTCTAATTACCGGCGAAACGTCGTACTCAAATTGTAAATGTTGTGGGTTTACTCTGTAAAACACCGGTGTGCTGAACTAGTACCTAATTTTGGCATGTTTTGTTTACGTGAAAAACCTCACTAATTGGTTGCGTCGGATAGTGGCGGGTTTAACGACACATTTATATTTACGGGATCTAACTAAAAACAAAAAGCCGATATCGAGACATTGCATCCACTGAAACATTTCATTATTATTATTATTTTATACCCATATATATGAATCTACTCCTGAATGAAGCCCTCTCTACATCATCCTAGCCATGGTTGTTTTATCATGGCTCACCATGCTGGTCAGTGTGGACTGGGAAAGGCGAGTGGGCCAGGACTGGTTCAAATGTCACTCACGACTGATGCCAGTCGTGTCTGGGGGTCGAACTCAGGCCACGGGGCTCATTGCTTGCAGCATGAGTCGCTCACTGCACCACTGCTCCACCCCAATGCAAGTGTTTGACCCAAGGAAGTCAACCGCTTTAGTTACGATAGCTGGTGGTTTCTGAAGTTCCCCGTAAAGTCAGATTAGGGTAAAGGGTATTGCTATGCTTGACCTTTTAGTTTGTATCATAGACGTTCAAAGGTAGCTAAAAGGTGTGATGTGTAAAGGTGCTTCATCAATTCTATGAATTAGAAATAAAGTATGCAAACTGGAAAACCATAGGTCTCAAACAACACAGAAACGTGTAACAATAAACATTCAGCCTTTGTGCATCACCATCATTGCGACCCTTGTAGGTTAACCGACAAAATAAATGTGCTCAAATGTAGTGACAATGTTCTGTTAGTCATCATTAATAATAGTGACAGTTATAGGACATACCGTATATAACGCCTCAAAGTGTCATATGCGGTGACATACAAGTACAGGGACTCCTCGACTTACGAACGAGTTAGGATCCAGAGATCTGTTCGTAAGTCGATTTGTAAGTCCATCTTTCATCCTGTCGACTCCGATTCTCACGGTTGGCTACTACGTACGGTGCGAAAGAAGTTTAGAATTTCAATACATACACGTTGGAATACTAGCAGACGGCTTTACTTATTATATTAACCACGTCTCTATTAGGGGCCGTCCATAAATGACGTCACGCACCTGGGGGGGGGGGGGAGGGGGTCAGACATTTGTGACGATGTGGGACGTGGGGGGGGGGTTGAGAAATGTGACGTCACATCAAAATGTGCAACTTTAAATAAATATAGAATTGTTCTAACAACACTAATTGTTATAACAACACTCCTACAACATCAGAGTGCAGCGCCACATTAAATACGCACTACAATGACAACGTTTAAAGCGATTTGAAGCAAGTTGTTTTATTATCAAAATGAAAATATGGTTTGGGGGGGGGTGGCAGAGCTTTGTGACGTCATATTTGAAGGGGGTCTGACTTTTTGTGACGTCCAAAATCGCGTGACGTCATTTATGGGCGGCCTTTTATTCACTTAATTTTCTGATGGCCATTCCTGTCTCAGCTTATAATTTATATATACTGTATATGGGCAAGATGTTGACTACCTCGCCTGGTACACAGGAGGTCGTGGGTTAGATCCCGACCCTGATGCCTGCTGCTGCTGTATATCTGGAGTGTCTCTCTCTCATCAACATCACGGTAGGAGATGTTAACTACCTCGCCTGGTACACAGGAGGTCGTGGGTTAGATCCCGACCCTGACGGTGCTTGATGCCTGCTGCTGCTGTATATCTGGAGTGTGTGTGTCTCTCTCTCATCATCATCACGGTGGCTAGGAGATGTTGACTACCTCGCCTGGTACACAGGAGTTCGTGGGTGCGATCCAGACCCTGATGCCTGCTGCTGCTGCATATTTGGAGTGTGTGTGTCTCTCTCTCTCTCTCATCATCATCACGGTGGCTAGGAGATGTTGACTACCTCGCCTGGTACACAGGAGGTCGTGGGTTAGATCCCGACCCTGATGCCTGCTGCTGTATATTTGGAGTGTGTGCTTCTCTCTCTCATCATCATCACGTTCAGAGTCAACATCGCGCCTTGCTGAGCTGATTGACTGCCGTGCATTGTCAATCCACGACGTGCTGGCAAGCCGCTGCGTTCAACGAATCGCCTGGTTACAACCGTGGATTAGTTAGGGAGTAAGTTGAGTTGAGAGAGTGTGGTGGGTGGTGGTGGTGGGGGGGGAAAGCCTCTGCTGTGGCAACACGGTGGTGGTGGGTGGTGGTGAGAGGGGAAAGCCTCTGCTGTGGCAACACGGTGTGGTAATGGTGGTGGATGGTGGTGGTGAGAGGGGAAAGCCTCTGCTGTGGCAACACGGTGTGGTGGTGGTGAGAGGGGAAAGCCTCTGCTGTGGCAACACGGTGTGGTGGTGGTGAGAGGGGAAAGCCTCTGCTGTGGCAACATGGTGTGGTGGTGGTGAGAGGGGAAAATCTCTGCTGTGGCAACACGCGCGGGGCTCGAGGCCTCGTTCCGGGGCCCCCCGCGGGGTGGGGGGGGCCGCCTCCGACATCTCCAGCGCGCCGCGGCCGCCGCCACAGCTCACGGAGGTCGTGAACAAGCTGGGGGCCAGGGAGATTGTCTTCTTGTTGTTGTTATTGTTGTTATTATTGTTGTTATCGTTGTGGCGCGCTAACTCTTGCGACGTTTTAAATGGTTAGGACGCAAAACAAAATTAATAAAAACTTCGCCTCAGAGCGATGCTTGCCGACAGCGAACCCGCACATTGCCGCGCCAGCAGCAGGAGTAGCAGCAGCAGTAGGAGTAGCAGGAGTAGTAGCAGCAGGAGTAGGAGTAGCAGGAGTAGTAGGAGTAGGAGCAGCAGCAGGAGGAGTAGTAGCAGCAGGAGTAGGAGTAGCAGCAGGAGGAGGAGGCGTTTTGTGTTTTTCTAGCCGCCAAAAGGGCTCCTGCTAGCGCGCCCGAAGGTTTCGTTTGAAATAATTCAGTACGAAACCACTTTAATATCGTCCCGTAGCCTACACGAGTCAGCGGCCTTTTCGATCTCCAGGCGCGGCAGCTGAATGACGGAGAATGTGTATTTTAAAGAGGCCAGACGCTCGTGTCCGTGAACGAAGGTTGGTTGTAAATGCATTGTAGCTGTTGGCTGCTCTTTGGCAGACGGACTGCGTATGGCCCTCCAAGTCCGCGATACAGACGGTAAATGTCGAGGTCGGTCTTCGTTCTTGTTCGGGTTCTTCAGTGATCCCATGACCGAGACAGCCATGGGTGAGGGCCACGTGGGCGGCAAGTGTTGTGTTAGATGGCTCGATCAATCATGAGGCGTCGTTATCTCTGGGGCCGCTAAGAATATCCGATGTACATCGGTCGGTACGTGGGTCATCATCGTGTGGGCCAAGTTGTGGGCAGTGCAGCAAATGCAATTGTTGTACTGCACTATGGTCCGACATCTATACCCCCCCAACCCCGGGTACTGACCGGCGTGGTGAAGTAAGATAAACATGACCCCTACGACCCGGACGGCATGGGGAAGCCCTAATGTAACAGATGGACACAGGTGGCTGTACATGGGTCTTCGTGGCTATGATGGCCCATTATTCGTAAGTCATGCCCAGACTGCCAAGGGAATCCCACAAAGTTATATGGGTTAGATAAACAGGGGGACCCATATATCAGCATATATCATCAGTGTATTGCTACAGACCTTTGTAAATCCACTGCAGTACTTTATTTTCAAGTGGTGTGCTTGTGTAGTTCTCAGTTTTCGGGGATGAAGTATGTGAACAGTCCAACAGTGGATCGCCAAAGGGCCGATGCATCTTAGTTTTGCTTGCCAGGAATAACCTGATCACAACAAAAAACCTCCCAAAGATGTTATTACCTCATCCATAACTCCTGATAATACAACATTGATCATTCTTTGGGTCTTTCGGTAAAAAGTCTTTGACCCTATCTACGTGACTTTACCGAAAGACCCAAAGAATATGAATTCCTGCAGTCACGAAAGCTTCAAATCAAAATTTAAGATTGTTGCTGCCAGGTTTCCAATGAGAAATCTCCGTGGCTTGTTTGAGACGTAAATAAAACAAGTGCACTCTCTCTTAAAAACACTATAAAGTCAAAACCTCTTGCACCGCAGGCCTGTTAACAATAAACATGTGTTGTCTCCCTTACAGTGGGCATTAAAGGTCGTGTGACATGCCAAAAAGAGGAGGCCATATGTGCCTGCGTCATGGTCCAAAATTGCCCAATTTGATTCATTGCTCTCAATTTGGAAAACCCTCGGCATCACTGTCCCCTCGTGGCAGAGACATTTGTAGGCTGGTGCTGTGCACACCTGCTGGACGTACATCTTGCCTGTCGGCCACTGGGGGTACACTTTGCTAGTCTGCAGCAGGCCAATGCAATGTTTGCGATGGTATGAAACGTAAGGAACGTATTGCATTTAAGTAAGTGCCCTATATATGCAAATACTTATAAACTTAACTGCATATTTTCTCTGGGTGTACTATGAAAACGTGCATGCATTGACGTGGAAGTGTACTGTAGTTTTTTATTCATATATGTTCCAATGGGTTCATGCGATCTCTCCAACCACAATTACTTCAACGTTAACATCAGTATGAAATTAATTGATTCTGGAATCGAACCGTGGCACGGAATCTACAATTCATAGAATCAATCAGGGGGTTAATTGTTATTCCACTTTATGCTGTTAATATTTGAATCAACTGTTAGGTTATGCATTCACCTCGAGACGGGCATTGGATTAACACCCAGAGATAAGCAACTAAGGGAAAGTCCGAAAATCCAGACGGTGGTGGTGATGAGACCGAGTCGACCAATTGAGGACCTGATTCAAACAATATGTATTAGAAGTATTGTTGAAGTTGCAGTGGATAGAATGTGTGTGAGGTTGGCGAGGGCAGGTTATTGAAACAGGCGTTGCATTGAGGTTGGGGACCATATGAAAGACCTAAAACCTGACGGTAGTAGCCATAGTTGAGTTGCAACAGCTGAGGAATCGGTCGGTAGTGATGGTGAGGTGTAGCGTCGGTTACATTGGCTGTGATAGCTTCTTGGCCTTGGTTTCGACTTTTTGTTACTTTCCTCCAGCAGAATTGCAAAACATCCTGTTCATGCTCTTTGTGTCTGGGCATTGACGTGGCTTAGCGGCAGAGAATTTGCCGCTGGTTGCAACGGTTGGCGGTTTGAATTAAGCGGCAACCCTGATTATTACTGTGGGTGTAACAACCGTAATCATTTGTGCCGTCAGTTTCACAGTGGGCGTTAAAGATCCCAAATGTTAAAAATGCAAAAATTACCCACGAATCACTCAATTGTAATTATACAAAGCAATCATTACCTCCCACTGGCAGACTAATGCCCCAGGTCACTCGTGCAAATCAGTCTATTGAGTTGTCACCTGGTTTAACAATAGTAAACTTGACTACATGCTGAAAGCAAAACACGTTTGTCTCTTTCAGAACGCGCAAACTGTGAACCCTCAAAGCGCTTCATGTTCGATCGGTGGCATCGATGATGGAAAAGATGGAGAAGGGAGACAACGTGGAGGATTTGCAGGGGGACAGCAGTTGCTGTCCCAAGCAGCCTAGGAGCGTGTCAGGAGAACAAGGCCTAACCCAACTCGCCGAGGGGTCCTTCAAACACCTCCGCATGGCATCCCAGACGGTCTTGGAAGAATTAATGAAGCGCGGACGGTCCAAGTGCCCAAAGTGCCAAGCATCACGAATGTTTTACTGCTACACTTGTTTCTCACTTTTGGAGGGGATTTCAGAAGAACGCGTGCCAAGAGTGAAGGTTTGTTTACTTTAAAGTGTATTGCATTGTATGATAATATTACATTCCGCGATATCTTATTAGAGTAAAATGTTGATTCCACATAAGCTGTATCCTGTTACTTATAATTCAATTAAATTCAGTCAGGTGAATTGGTGATCCAGCGCTCACTGCTTCACTCCAGTTGCTGGTTGTCACAATCCTCCTTCTCTCCTACTGCTATCGCCATCATTATTGTTTGTGTGAACATCACTCATTGATTTCTCCACCCATGTTGGGGACTCGGTCTACCAAACTGTATCATCTCATCCATCCTGCGTTCAATCAACACAAGTTCTGCTGGTCATCATCTTCTTCCTCGCATAGCTCGACTTTGGAATCCCCTCGTCGTCTCTCATCGACAGGTTCCTATACCCTTGCTCAACTCAAGAAATGGACATTGCCTTTTACCTGCTATACTCTCAATAGTGTGCTGTTTTGTTACCGGCTCATTGGCATATTGGGGCAATGGATCTGTGCTGGTCAACTGAACAACAGACAATCTTGTCAGTTGCAATTCCACAAAGACAAGTCGGTTAAGCCTGCAGATGCCATGCTTAAAAAAAAAAAGTTGCTCCATTGTGCATGTTTAACAAGGTGTAATAATTGATGTACACACTACCAACCAGTGACGTGCGGTGAGGTCAATGGCTGGGGAGGCACTGGCAAGTGTCAAAACCAGATTTACACACTGAGGGGGGCGTAGCCTCACGGAGGGGCTGTGGCCTCACTGAGGGGGGCGTGTTAGACACGTCCCCCTCAGTGAGGCAGATGTGATAGCTGCCTCCCCTGGTGCTTTTTCATTGCAGTTTCATGACGAGACCAGCGAGCCTAAATATCTTTATACACATACGTGAAATAAGTTACCTGGAGTATGGAAGGCGAGGACATGAAATGAAGGGGTCTACAAACATTACATTGGTGACATACTGAGAGATAGTAACAGGCACGCGCTTATTGCCCGCACTCCATCCAGTTACTGAGGGGTTGCGCAATCGGAGGGAAGGCTGAGCTCGTCGCTGCCTCACCTCTCGTCTCTTCCTCTATTTGCAGCGGAGCTCCGCAAATTTGGCGATTTTGACTAAAAATTATTGGAATCGTACAGAAATGACATAACACAGATCAGTGGAAAAATCTTAATATTTGATTTGATTCTTTTTTACTTTTCGTAATGGCTATTTTCATTGGAGTATGACAGGTGAGGCTCTGCCTCCCCTGACCGCACGTCCCTGCTACCAACGTTGAGTGCAAATGCACGGCGTATTGTTGTAATAACCCATTGTTAATAACCCATTGTTTCCCTGCACTTCGACAGTTGCCCTTAAAGGTTGACATCATTAAGCATTCCTGCGAGACGGACGGAAAAAGTACAGCCGTGCATGCCTGCATCTTGGCTCCAGACGATGTCACCATGTACACCTACCCCTGCTTCCCGGAGTATGATAAAAATGAAAAGGTGAGCGCTCAGTAAATGTGAATGTATGTTTGTGGTGGGAGGTGGCTGTTTGGCTCAGAGATCAAGAGTACTGAGCTGGCACCGATTAGGCCCTGGGTTCCAATCCAGGCACTCGCCTGTGATTAAAGCCAGGTCCTCGAAGTCGTTGGTCTCAGTCCGTTCACCAGTGACTGCCACTGTTGTCTGCTGCCCAAGTCGCCTTTGAAAAAGAGCCGAATAGCTCGGTGGGCTCTACTTGGGAAATCAACTTATGACTTTGGACCGAACTCACAAGTAATCGCATTAAATTTGGTTCTGCAATTTGCTAAAAAAAATCTCGGCTCTTTCATTGTCGTGCAACAGACATTACGAGAGATCAGAATTAATATTTACTCGCTTACGCAGAGCGGGTAGAAAAGTGTCGCCTACTGCTGTGTGGACCGGAGGTAGCTGTGACTGTTTCCTCCGTGGACTGTTATCTAACACAAAGGGTTGTACTGCTGCCCTACGAGAGATCAGAATTAATATTTCGCCTCGTGACCCTGACACCGATATCAAAATAAATGGGGATAATATTGGGTGGGGGGGGGGGAGGCAGGGAAATGACAAACGGATCGAATTGCAGTCGAAATCTGCGTTTATATTTGACTTGATGTTTCGTCGATTGTGACATCTCGCCATCGCCCATCACAGCTCGCATCAGTTGTGAATGTAGCATTCTTCCCAAGCCGAGAATGGTTAATAATCATCACCAGCAGGAGGCACTCGCTGCTGTCAGCTCCGGTGTAGGTGCAAATTAAAAGGAAAATGCAACCCAAACCCCCCGCCCAGCTTTTGTCAGTGCTTGCCTAATCTGTGTTCCGAGATGTACACCATGAGGTTGAAGGTTTCATTTAAAAACACGATTCACAGGAGTGTTCCAGTGATCCCAATGGTGCTCTATTAAAAATAACAGGCGTGACAACACACTGACATCCTGTGTTGATTTTGTTAACAAAAGTTAATGATGAACAAAGTATTCGTGACGCGTGACGACTACCCACCACAGACCAAAGCGCGACTAACGGGTGCTGAAGACGCCGACGGAAATAATGTTAGTCGCGTTATTCGAGACTGCAGTGTACCAAATAAAAGCACTCTTATTGGCTATGTATGCACGCATTAAAAGATCAACGGTGTTCACTGATTGGCCAACTGGCCGACGTGATAATATTAGGGCAGGGTTGGGGGGTGGAATTTTTTACCCCTCGCACACCATTACGTAGATTATATTTAGATTATTTGGCTGCTATAAATTTCCACATAAGCGACTTTGTTGAGCTATCTTTGTGGCCAGCTCGATTCTGAAAATGAAGCTAATAGCTCAGTGGGCTTTACCTGGTAAAGTAAAAATATGTTTTTATTTGCATATTGTTTTAGTGTTTTGCTTTCCTTTGCTATACTTTGCACTCCTATCATGTTTTTGTATTTTTTGTTGTAACGTTCTGACCTGCCCCCACTGGACATTTGTGAAGAAGATCATTATAGCTCATTGTATTCTTCCAGTACAAATACATATATTTTTTATGATGATTATAAGTCAATTAAACTGAAAAAATGGCTAAGTGAAGTCCCCAGACAAAGACATGACTAAAATGACAAAGGTTGTTGTCAACTATACTAACATAGAAAACAACCCGATTGACATCACTCCAGTACATTTGATAGAGATTTAAAATGCCTTACTCTCACTCGATAAGCTTCTCATTCATATTCTTGGTTCTTTCGGTAAAGCCACGTAGAAGGGAAACAATAAAATAATAAAAATATAAAAAATACAATTATCACAACGTTTCGACTGCAACACAAGCAATCATCATCAGGTGTGAAAACCAAAGCAAGAAAATTTGAAAAAAGTGACATTTTTTTTATTATATGATTTTTTTATTATTTTATTGTTTCTCTTCTACGTGACTTTACTGAAAGAACCAAGAATGTGAATCCCTGCAGTCACGGAAGCTTTAAATCAAAATTTAAGCTTCCCATTTATTTCAAACAGCTGAGGACATATTGCTTACATTGTCATAAGGTAATTTTGCATCAAGATAGGGCCCATATCTTAAAGAGAGGGACTTTGGCCTATGACATTGGGCTGTTCATCAGCATTCTTTTAAGAAAGCCGGACTGTTGATGAGACACTGTGTGTCAAAACTAGGCCAGAGTGTGGCTTGTATTTGAACCAATGCTGCTGAAGCTTTGCATTCTCAGAAGGCCGTGGGAGCGTTGCGTAAAACGTCGTTTTATTTTTACGTGGATAGATATATTTTACGTAGGAGACATTTATTATCGCTGATCTATTTTGTTACAAGAACTATTTGTGGTTTTGTATGTTGCGTTTTGTTTTTTTGGTATCTCGGTGATGAAAGGCGAGCCTCCACGCTAGATTGTAGTGCTTGTCACAATACCGCGATGTGCCATGGCTCCGTGGCCGTCTGAAACGCTCTTCCTTCCGATATTAAGAAGCTATTGGAGCTATTCGCGTTTAAATCATCTTGATTGAAAATTCATTTTTTAGAATTGTTATTTTGTGCTCCGTTTGTTTTCATTCCCCTGCACCTCCAATTAGCACGGTTGGCTACGTACAGTGTGGAAGAAGTTCAAGATACATACATGCTTATCAGCACGACATCAAGTATCGCTAAAGAAATACGAAGACTTAGGTGGCCATGTTGCGGAGGGGACTAATAACACGTTTGTGCACTAAGCCAGCACCGTTGTGTTATTCTGTTCCAATCCGGGCAGCCACTCATGGATTACTGCAGGTTCTTAAGCGTAACACGTTGATGGCCTCAGTTCAGTCAATAATTAATGTACACAAAGCCATCCTTTTTTTTTCAAGGTAAATCTCAGCTCCGAGGACATACTTTCTAGGGCGTACTAAGTGCTTTTGCATGGCAGATATGCAGTGCATAACAACGCAGATTCCATGGCATTGGAAAACCACGATTACATTCCTATAAAAAAATGTGGAAAACGCCCAATTGATTGAAGAGATCTTAATAACAATGGGAGCACGAAGGCAGCGGACGAAATGTTGACAATTGGGAAATCACAAATAGTATCTCTTTGGAGAGCAAGATGGAATCATACCGCATGGTTGGGACAGAATCTTGAAACAAGCGGAGGAAATGTATATGCATGTCTCGCAGAAAAAAACATCTAACTCAGGAAACGAATACTCTTTTTGGAGAAAGAGGAGGAAATTCCAGATGTCACGCTAATAGCAGTTGCTGCTCTTCAGCATATGAAAACAGGGAAAGCTCCCAGATGGAATAACTGGACATATTAAAGAAGCGCGACCAGGTGTTGTAACACAATTAGCGGCCCTATTTAACAACTGTTTGCACTAAAATGAAAACACTTCAATCGTGGATTAATGCCTCAATCTTCCGTGGCAAAAAGGGAGTATTCAAAATAGAGTACTCTATCTATGGAGGACGATGCATTGTGTGGAAACCATATTACAAGAGTCTCGAAAAATATCCTCCGCATTTACAACAGTCCGGAAAGTAAGATGCACCCCAAGTGCTACGCCCGGTGTCAGTATAGCTTTAACAGATCTGTTTTCACACACATGCACACTTACCGGATTGCAAGGTGAACCCACAACTTTTTGTTGCATTAAAATACAGGGTAGGCGGGGGGGTGACAATTTAATTAATATTCCAGAGAATACGGTATTCACCACAAGGAATAAGTGTGAGGAAGGGGGTGAGGGGGTGAGGGTTACTGAGATCAGTGATCTTGATTTGGGGGGGCAGGGGGGGCACCCTACCAAAAAGGTTGAGCTCTAGTGGCCTCGGCAAATGACATCACCCTATTGGCACTGTGTGTAAATGTCGCCAATTAAAATTGTTCTATTTTTGTAGTCTATATTTTAATTGTTGCCTAATTTGTATTGTACTGAGGTTTTTTTGTTACAAGCGCCAATTTATTCGGGCGGGGGGGCGGCTTGTGTCTTTTATTGCGGTCGCAGGTTTTGCTTGTGTTTCCCGGACCCGATTCCGTCACACTCGACGATTTGGAAAAAGAGATGACAGAGGATGACAAAAAAGATCGAGGGGAGAAGCCCAGAAATTACGTCACTCCTCGCGTCGATTCACAATCTAGTGATCCTTCACCGCAGGCGGTAAAGAAAATGAAGCTCGCTGGCGATAAAGGAGAGCACTGCACCCCGGTGCCCAGCTTACCTCCGAAGGCGCCGGCGGGTTCTGAGAAGAGGTACCCAGAAGGTCCCTTCCACCGGGTGGTGTTCATTGACAGCACTTGGAACCAGACGAACAAAATGAGCATGGACGAGAGATTGAAAGGTGAGTTGTACATGCGTGTGCTCACTCATCAGAAGTTCTGCTCGCTCAGAAACGAGATTGTACTGGTGCTCATACCTGTTCGTAGCCCCGAGACGCTTGACAGCGATTCCACAGGTACAATCGCAAGGGTCGGTCTATCTACGACACCTGTGCGTGATGACTCGTGCCTGTGATGCCGCACTTGGGAAGCAAGGGTGAGTGGTTCACATAGATTTGTGAAACTCCCAAAACTTGACGTGGCCAGGTAATGTACACGAGCATATGTATGGCCTTGTTATAAATCCACTGTTGGATGAGTGCCTCCCCACACCACATGGGCTGTGGGGGCAATTGGAGGTGACCATGATTTCACCGTGCGGTCAGTGAAGGCGGGAAGTGTAGACATGGGAGCATGTTTGCAGTCCAACAATGGATTTGGCTGCACGGTCTTATGCAGACAAAGTGGCTGTTCAGCAGTCTGTTTATTCACAGTGATTACCCATCTACAAACTTTCCAGGCTGAATCCTGGTTAGCTTCTGAGATCTGACAAGATCGGTTGCATTCGAGATAATGGCAGAACATTAAATCAGCTGTGAACTCCTCTTTGCAATCCTGAGGGTGTTATCCCCTTACATTCATAGGTTTTCTCCAGGTCCTTCCGTTTCTTCCCACGTAAATAAACACTCGTTAATGGAACCGGCGAAATATTGCAATGCGTGACCAATTTTCTAAATAATTTTGAGACTCGGTGAAGATCTTCTGGTTAAGAATATGAAATTATTATTCTCCTTTTCTCAAGCAGTAAATTAATTCTAGATTTGAAGCTTTCGTGACTGCAAGGATTCATACTCTTTGTTTTTTTCGGTAAAGTCACGTAGGTAAAATAAAATAAATGAAAACAGCTAAATTAAATCACGACGTTTTGGAGGCAACACAAGCTTCCGTCTTCAGGTGGAAACCGTCACAGCAAAATAGCTGTATCAAGTGAAGAGAGCTCTAAGATACCCGAGATTATATACAGGTGAAGGGGGAGGGGAGCCAGGAAGGGCCGTGGGGGGGGGCTATGTTAAGCCGCCTTTTGTTATGCTGATACCGAGGACGGGCGACCGATGAGCTGGAGCGGTGAAATAAGTTTTTGTGCAGATGCTAGATTAAATATTACATCACAGGACGGTGAGAGGTGGCGACAGAAAGCCTTCATCCAGCAGTGGATTGACCATGGCTGGGTGATGACCATGACGATGAAGACTTATTGCTATCGTTGTCTCTCTTCGCACAGCCCTGCAGTGTGTAAAACTCCAGGCGTGGGAATCGCAGTTCTGGCGGCACCAGAAGGGAACCCCGCGCACCTTCCTCTCCACCGTCGAGGCCATTTACTACTTTTTTGTCGAATACCACGGCCTGCTGCAGGAGGGGCCCTACTCCGGGCAGTACGACAACCTGCTCTTCTTCTTCACATTCATGCACGGCCTCGTGAACAACGCCAAGGCGCACAAGCATGCTTTGCTGCAGGCCTAGGTACTCGACCGCTGCAATAGCGGTTTGCAGTAGAGTTTGGGCTGTATCATCATCACGATCCACGGGGAAGATTGTCCACTGCACGCGTCGTCACTTGTTTCAACTTTCCTCTGCCTTGTGTCAATAAAAGCACAAAGATCCCCTGACGTCATTCGGAAGAGGAGGCCACTGCGTGACAGCGACGGGGTACAAATTTACAACTTTTTTTTAAATTACACTGCAAAGTACACAGGTGTGATTACACATAGCGGACTAATGCCCACGCACATGCCGGGTGAGGAGTGACCCTGTGCCTGCAGAGGCAGCCGCCACTTGGGATGCCCTTTCAAAAAGTTGGAAATGTGATTGTAAGCACTCGGAGAAGGCCTGGCATATATAGGGCGCTCTCTCAAAAATAAATAATTCTCCCCAATGTCAATTTGTAAGAACAGAATTGTGGTTCAGGTGTCGACTGCCATAACTGGGATCTGCTACGGACCTCAGCGTTGCTAGGTCAGTGTGTAAATAATTTTTTTACAATCGAAAGACTTAAATGTGTTGTTTTTTAAAATTTCAGATATTAAACTGGCACCTACCCGAATGTTTACTTTGTCTAAATGTATCAATACAAAAGCTGCATTCTCTTTGTCATCGGTCCCAGTCTCGACGGTGACACGCCTGGGTTCGTGACCCACGTTTAAGAAATTCTGTTTGGGACAATCTGCGACAAAGCCCCCTGCGTTTCTCCCCAACCTCCCAGTTCCTTTCCTCGACATTACAATGTTGGTTGTGTTATAGAGCATTTTTTGTCAAATTGTGACCTCTTTATGCAGAAAATAAATAAATGTTCTGTTAATAGCTTTGTGCTTTCCTTGACTAACGTTTTGTTTTACTTGTCCACACTGGCTAGACGTCTTGCATATGTCATCACGCAAATTTGAGATGGTGATTTCTGTGTAAACATTTTGTGAATAGTCCTGCTAATTTAGTTCCAACGACTGTTCCCCTGCTGCTTTGATAATATCCAGTCGTACCATCTGGCCCATGAGCTTTCCCTTCATGCTCTTGAGGGCAGTGTTTACTTCTTCAGCCTTGACATCTGGAATGTCCTCGTCTTCATCTGAAAAACTGTTGATTTTCTGGAATGTACCGAGTTTTTTTCTTCTCTAAAGATATTTATAACATTTCTATGCTAATTTGAAGATTCTGTACGGTGTGTCATTTTCCCCATCTTTCTTGCTAAGGGCTACCATTTGTAAATTTCCAATCGTCTACCAAGCTCCTCCTGCTTTTATGATCCCATTTTGTCTTCAATCATTGCTATGAAATCCTCAATCATTTGATGGTCTCCCATTTCTCTTCTCATTCTTGTCTCATTTTCCTAATTGTTTTACAGACTTTATGTTTATTCCACTGCGTTTTTTTTCATCTCTGTCTCTTTACATATCTCTTTATCAACATGTCCTTTGTGGTTTCAGATTTGTTCAGTTTGCTTTTTAACCTTTACCATTGCTCGCTCTGAGTAACTCATCAACATTCAAATGCCTGGAGGAGCCAGATGATGAAATGGATATCACCACTTTAAATAATGCAGTAACTAGCATCGTAATTGATTGTGCATTGAAAGTGGGAGGAAAGGTCATGGATCTTGGCCATGAATAATAATAATTTCAGCTTGGAGTGTATCACACAGTGTTAATTCAAGTGAAGAGGACAACGCAGGCTTGTGTTGGAACTGCAGACAAGCGGGAAAGGAAGCAACTAGGTGGTGAGGCAGCGCCAACTATTGCCCAAGCTCTGTGATCCTCTATATTAAGGTGTTATTATCGAGCAATCAATAAGTGTTTACAGCTGGGAGGAAACCGGAGCACCTGGAGAGAATCCACACGTGCAAGGGGGCAACACTCGATCCCCTTCTGAACTCCACGTGTTTGCTGTACTGCCTTCAGACGCCCACGAGAAGGGAGTTTCACAACATCCGTGTGTGATCTGCCAACCCTCACCTCCACAGTGCTGGATTGCAGTCCACTTGCATAGCCACCACTGCCCGGCTTAAACATTTATGAAATTTACGAACTGATCATTGTGCCATTGTGGCGCAACTGGAGTGCTTAGTGCAAGGCTTCTGTGTTCCAATCACAAGCTACGTGACAGTATGAGAAAGTGATACACTTCAACACGTGTAGGATTCTTGAACCATTGGATCCATAATAATTACCCGATTTTAACGAATGTTTTTTGTACCGGCTCGCACTGGTACACCACAATGCAATTCTAGTCCTTTAGAATGTGATATGCTCCAATTCGGCCACTTATTCCAGACGTCTATAATTGTACTGTGCTTCGCACCTTTTTCCCAAAGATCCTCTCGTGTCTCCACTGTCCGTCCCTGGCTCCGAGGGGGGGAGCGCGTCGCAATGGGTGTTGCTCGCTCGTTCCGGCTCCCACAGGCAGCCCCCGGAGCTGTCAATCTCTTTTTTTTACACAGGACTCCTCGCATGCTGATCGTGTTGAAAGCTAGCATGTCGTGAGCTTATCTCCACCTTCAATCACATTCGGAAGAAAATGTGGGCTTAAAGATTCAACGCCCGGTAGCGGAGAGCGATTTCCAGTCGCAAAAAAATGTCTGTTTCACGTCATCTGTAATAGCGTGGAAAATGTGCACTCATGTACCGTCTTCGCTTGCATAGCCGGTGTGAGCTCACCTGTGATTAATGACGTATAATTGTGGACTCTGCAGCATATGGGAACTCGAGAAATCATTTTCCAAAGGTGCGGAGAGACAGGTGCGTTTCTTTAAGATCAGGCAATGGTGATCAGAGATTTGGTCGGATTTCGTGCCGAGGAATTCAGCTGCGTCGTTGCGACGTGGAGGGTGAGTCTCTGATCGCTATTGCAGGTACAGCAATTTGCCCTTCTGAAGGGAACATCTTTGAAATTAAAGTTTTGTCGTTTCACAAACCATCCCCCGCTGGTGTTCAGTCTTTGTCGAGTCGCCCACCACTTTTCCGGAGGACAGAACACAACGCAGAATCTCTAACCATCGCCTCCGAACTTTAGTATTGTAATTGTTGTCTATTGAGCCGACCCGACGTCCTCCCTCCCACAAGAGGATGTCCACCGTGGAGACTGAGCAAATGAAATCAGCTTGCAGCTGCTGGGTGGATTATTGCATCGTGGGTCCGTGAGAGATGGCGATGGCTTGTGGAGGCCTTCATCCAGCAGTGGATTTATCATGCCCGATGATGACGACGATGTATTCAGGAGAGCTTTCTGTAAATTAAACCTTGGAAAATTAAGAATGAAATGTTTGGTGGTTGAGTGCATCTTGCAATGTCTTGCAGAGTAAATCAAGCAAGCCGTGGCAAGTTGTGCCGTGCGGTGCAAGAGCATTAACCAGAAGCCTGAAATCGGCCACAACTCACTACGGTTGAAGCAAGTCTTCCGTGGGGAAATCCTCGAGTTCTCTGGGGAAATTTTCAGAGGCAAACACCTGTTATTATACACGTGGAATGAATGGTCGTATTCCCAGCAGTCAACTCAGCACATCTTAAATGATGCCGGAGTGCTAGACTATGGAGGGTAACTGACGTCACCTTCTAACACGTTTATCCCATGCCATTTGCAATGACAGGCTTGGAAGGAAACTGTTATAATTCTTTCAGATTAATATGTAGTGGCGTACGGTGATCTGTTAACACATTTATATTCGTAGCGCTTATGGAGAGGCAAATATGCGGACGGACCATCAAAAGTAACATTATTTTTATTGTACGTGAAACCTCATTCCAAAATTGTATTATTTTCTTGTTATAGTGCATTTTTGGAAAGTTAAATCATATGGTTTGATTGAACATAATAATGAAATAACGAAACCCATAAATATACATACACATATACAGCCCTTTGTCAATCGGGTTGAAGGCCTCTCCATGCCACGTTGGTCGTGGGGGTTTGACCATACTTCACCACGCTGGTCGCTGGAGGTTGGTCAAGGGGGTTGGTTCAGAAGCTTTGAAGATATCGCGAGGCACCGGGCAGCTGCGAGGGGACTCAGAGCCAGTGCGCTCGCGACGACAGCCACCGTGCCACGGCTCCAGCAGTCGCACGTCATTTTTAGTTGGTTTTCTAAATCTTCCATAATAGAGGGGTTTTTTGGGGGGTTAGATCGCGGAAATATATAAATTTGTCAGACCCGCCACCAACCCTTACTCGTTAGCTGTGTCGGGTGGTGGCGGGTTTAACGACACATTTATATATTTACGCGATCTAACAAAAAAAACGCCTCTATTATGGATGATATTGGTCGCGAAAGCCTACGTGTTAAACTTTCTAAATCTTCATTACAATTTAATTTCAGTGGGTAACCACAGATTTAAATTGTGTTTTCCAGCTACTGTCAATTTGTGTTTTAACGACAGGTAACCATATTTATGGGAAAATAAAAACCCCTCATCTGTATTAGTTATTATATATTTACACAGTGCTTGGCTCTCGCATCTCTTGTGGACAATAGGAAGATACAATTTGCAGCAAATTGGAATTGTGGATAATATAAGTTCATTGTATTTCTACACATGTATCATCATCATCAGGCATGCATCATCCACCGCTTGATGAAAGCATACTCGAGCTGTCACCATCTCCCTGTGTCACATGATGTAGCAATCCACCCAGACACCGGAGGTACGAGAGCTGCTCTTCGTAGTTCTCTCAGACGCGTTCCATTCCTTGGCTGCCACTCCGTCAAGACTCCATAGGCAATGATCTCTTGCTAGCTGACGCATCCTGGCCCAAGCCACACTCACTTTTCCGAGCACATGAATTGCATACACGTATTCATGAATAAACACACGGAATGGTGGTATTAAAGAATAGTGTACTAATCGTGGTAAGGGCCAAATAGTTCCAGCAACGGGCTCTATTATTTTGAATTAATCTCTTGAAAGATGATGTATTGCTGCTAATCCAGGGTGTAATGACGACCACATCATGACGCACGCACACACATACACACACGCACACCTCACGGTGTTAGTTCAGAGAGCTGCTTGACAGTCATCGATGAGCAGTGCGTTCCGTTTTGGGTGTTTGTGCCAGCGTAGCACCTAATGAAGATGAAAATGTGAAATGACAGCAAGAGAAGCACAGACGTGTGTGATATAACACCCAGGGGGATGCGGGGGAAAGAAGTAAAAAAAAAATTTGATGACAGAAATGTGTGCGTTTGATCAGGATTGGCAGAACCAGAGTTAAAGGGACCAGGTCCTACAGCGAACCTGGTTTGCACGCAACCGTTTGTTGGATGGAAAGTAAATTGAGACGTTTACTTTCTCCGATTTGAATAAGCTCTCGCAGTAATATTTTATTTATCGGTCCGGTTGAAATATTCATGGCCTTATCTTTTATCCCGTGCACGTAGCGGCGAGCCATGTTTCATGCGGTATTGAGGTTGGGCTTTCAGGCTGGACAGGAAGTTTGGGGTAACAACTTCACCATACCCCGAGCGGAAAAAAAAGATATGCAACGCGACTTCAAAGAGGTAACGCGTGTCCTTTTCCACACGATTGATCAATATTACATGCAACGCTTTCCGTGACAATCGACACAGGATAGTTTATTTTGTTCTCCAAAACCACGGCGAAATTGTTCGCGTTAGATGATACAATTCAATTACGGCGGAGAGTTGAAATGCCGCACGTGGAGGCGCGTGCAGCGGTCATTAATGCGTGGCAAGCAAGGCGATGCAGTTTTTGAATGTTAGATTTTTTTTTAATCAAGTGTACTTCACTTGTCTAAGTGAGGATATACACATTATGATGTCACCGTCAGACTGTTACCTGATTATGTAAGCTGGTCAT